GCCCAACAGAAACATGTTGGTTTCCGGGGGGGGGAAACAACGCATTTCGGGCTGGGGCGTTACCAACCTGACCAACAAAAACACATGTGTTTACGCAACAAAAAAAAAAAACGGCATCTATCGGGCTTCCCCCAGTTTCACCCCCCCCACCCCCCCACAAACCCCCAAACCCCGCAACTCCAAGCCCGCGGTCCATGACCCGCTGGCCCCGCAGGAACTGGGTGTCCCGCTTCAAGGCGTGCAGCAGCGAAGCCTTCTGCTTCAAGTCCGGGATGCCGATGATCTTGTCCGCGAAGTTCAGGTCCTGAAACACAAATGCCCAGCTTCCCCTCGAGAAGTGGAGTTTGGCGGTGTGGAGTTCGGAGTTTGGCGGCGTCCCTGGGAAAAACACCAGCAAACACCAAGACCTTCGTACTGGGCGGGTTGGAGCTTGGATTGGTTTGGAGTGATTTCCCTTTGGTTTACGGTCCTCAAGGAAAAAAAACAACACGGGAAACACATTTAATTTGCAAAGACAAAGAAAGAAAATACCAGGTCATCTGGAAATCGCCGGACAAAATAAAGATCAGCTTTCAAAAAAAAAGCTGGTTTGGAGCCCGAGTTTGGTGGTTCGGGTGAAAAGCCAGGGGCTCAAATTCCCAAACAACCCACTAATGAAGGGCTACCTGACAGGAAATTGCCTGGAAAAGCAAAGCAAAGACAAATAGTTGAATACTAGGCCCTGTGTAAATCCAACAAATCGCCTGGAAAAGCAAAGCAAAGACAAACAATACCAGCCCCTGTGTAAATCCAAGAAATCGCCTGGAAAAATAAAGCAAATCGGCTTGAAACATGTCGGAGAGTTGGTATTGGTCGCCCTGTCCTTCAGCACCACCCCGGGCTGAGGGTTCACCCAACGGTCCTCAGTGGTGCCCTTCAAGTCGTAGATCACGTGGGGCTGCAGGGCGCAGGGGAAGGTGTTGTTCATCACCACCAGCCAAATCCTGGGGGAGGGGAGGGCCTAACTCCTTGCTTTCAAATCAGAACGTGTCGTAACCCCTCAAGGGCCCAATAAAGGACCCCCATATTTTTTTAAATTGGGGGGGGGGGGGGGAAGGGCCTAACTCCTTGTTCTCACATCATACGTTGTCAAAAAGTCGGGCCTTGCTGGTATTCCCCCGTGAAAAGCCGGCACCAGGGTCCAAAAAGGGCCCATTTGTTTCAGCCCTCCCCCCCCAAAGAAGCAATCTTGGGCTTGGCGCGTTTCTGGGCCTGTTGGGCCCACGTTTGCGCCACTTGTGGTTTGCGAGGCATCTCCTCTGCCTTTCAAGCTGCAGCTCGTAGGCGCCAAAGAAGCGACACAGCAGAGAGTTCCTGTGGCTGGTGAAGTGCTGCTCGTATCTCGGCAGGACCTGCGGCACCGATGGGCAACGCATGGGTTTCTCGAGAGCGGCCTGGTTGCGTCAGCGTGTTGCGTTGCAACCACTTAGAGGTCGTTCTGCTTGGGGGAATGGATTGCTGCACTTTGAAGGGCCCCTTCTGCTTGCAAGGAAAAGGGGGAAGGGCTAACCACGGCAGCAAAGCAGGAAGCTGTTCACGCCATTTGGTTTTGACGGAGCTCCACAGGCAACCCAACAAGGGGAAAGCCCTTGACCAATGTAAATTCCAACTTCACGGGCCAGCGCTTGGTTCCAAGATCGCACCGTGGCAAGTGTCAAAAACAAGCACGCGCCCTTTCTCGAAATGGGGAGCGGGGACAGTTTCCCTTCGATGTCTGCTCTAAGCAGGAGGGGAGAAAAAATAAACAAGAATGAGTGGTACTCCTGAGAGCAACCGCCCGTCTATCTCCCTTTGACTTCTCCAAAAGGCTAGTCCCAAACCTCCCACTTCCTTTCATCTACTCCCACAACTGTCCAGCTGGTGTCCTGCCTGGAGCAAAGTCTTCATCTCCAGCCGCTCCACGGTCTTCAGTACCAGCAGCTGGTTGTGGGAGACCCAAAACCTGCTGCCGCTCTTTCCGCTGGGCGCTTGGCTACCCCCAGTGATGCGGCCCAGGCTGGACCAGTAGAGCTCCTATGCCGAAGCCCCATGAAGGCCCTTTTGCAAGACAACTCCAGCTACGAAAAAGCACACTTGTTCTACTGCGGATGGACGAAATTTATTTCGCACCATCTAAGAACCCTGGAATGATTTCGCATGGTTTCTCAGAGCAGGTGCTTACTGGCATTTCGTTTTCCGAACTCTCCCCTCAGATCCCCCGCTAAAAGTTGACAACTTTTAGTGGGTTAAACACGGAAACTACCACTAAACACTAAAAGTTTAACTTTTAGTGGTTTAAATGGGAAACTACCACTAAACACTAAAAGGCTAAAAAGCTAAAAGGCTAAGGAACCGGATGGCTGGGAGCCAAGTTTTCTGCCCTCCTCCGACAAATTCCAAAGCTGCCGCAGCCGGAGGAAGTGTTGCTCCTCCAGCTGCTGCAGTTGCCACTCCTCTCGCTTCGAAGGGATGGGCGCTGAAAAGCAATCATCTCGGGGATGGCCCCAAGAAAAAGGTCCAAACTTTTTTTGAAAAGTCCAAACTTTTTTTGAAAAGTCCAAACTTTTTCTGAGAAGTCAAAACTTTTTTTGGACAGTCCAAACTCTTTTTGAAATGTACCACTCAAACGGTCTTCCCAAAAAGCTCTTAAAGTCGGGAACTCAAGAAGTGAGATCAAGTTCAGCTCGGGACATGAGGCTTTTGCCGATTTTCATGTTCCAAGCACGTACCCAAGGTGTGTAAACCCCTTCCAACTCCCAATCCCCCAAAACCCTCAACCCCCGAGCCTTTAAAAGAAACCAAACCCCAAAGCCGATCAAAACCCAACAACTCCACCCCTGAAACCCCCAACTCTCTCACAAACACACTTGCCCTGCAAACTTTTTCCAAAAATATATCCTCCCCCTCCCAGCCACACAAAAAAAAACAGGAAACACACACAGCAAACAGCCAGCCCCCCCCCCCCCAATCCCACTCCCAATCCGCGCCCCCCGTTACCCACCCCTTGGCCTTGCCATTGGGCTTGGTGCCCTGAAAGGCGCAGCAAATGGCCTCCGTAAGCTCCAGGCTCCGGCGGTCCGCGGCGCTGGGCTCCTGCGCTTCGGGACCCATTTCTCCGCGGGCGGCGAGGGATTTCCGAAAAAGTCGGGCCCAGTGGGAGCTGCAACTGGAGACCCGCTCAACTTTTTTCCTTTTCGAAGATTCCGTTACGCACATGGGGGGTGGATCATTTTCCGTCTGCCTCCAGTGTTGAGCATGGGAAACTTGGTTTTGGGGAAGTATCATCTATTTAGTCGGCTTTCCAACCAATGGTCACCCTATGTAAATAAAGGACCTGTTGATCAACCCCCATGTATCAAAAAATAGGGTCCCCTATAATGGGTTAATGGGCTTGTCTCAAATTCTGTGGGGCAACTGAAGGAAGGGGTTGGCCGCTTTCAAACCCCGAAATGGTGGTTTTGCGGTTGGCTTCCCTATGAAGCAACCTGGTACCGAGTCTCAACAACATACCCAGTGGACAAGAGGCCAATGTTTCCCTTTCAGTTCTTTTCCGGAAATCCCCTTAGTCTCTTTATGCGCGGGGTTTCGTCCCAAGTGGTTCGATCAACCGGGAATGCGGCAAACTGGACTTGTGGAAAACACATGGGATATGAAATGTTCATGTTTGTCCCCCTATGCGGAACCTTGAGTTTTCCATATTTCCGTTCGGTTGCCCTTTAAACCAACCTCAAAAGGGCACCTTGTAAAAAAAAGAGACAAGCCTTCAGTGGTTTCAAAACTTTTGCATTTTGCAACGAGGGAGGGCTTTTGTAAGGAGCCCTGTGGCCATGTTGGGTGAATGAAGCAACCATCTTCCCTAACGCGAACCTCGGCGCCTGCCACCAACCAATGTTTCTTAGATGGTCCAATTTAGTGAGCCTTACACATATCAGCCACCCTTTGCCGACTTTAGCCGCGCCTCTTTGCCCTTTTCCCTGTTTGGGCTTCTTTCATGTTGAGATACTGATACTCAAAACCGAAAGGCACAGTTGACAAGTTATGTGATGACGAATGCGATCAGGTGATGCAAATGAGGCTATGTTTCTATGCCGTAAAACTACCCTTCTATGCCAGCAATCGGCTGACCTTGCCCTTGCCCCCAACTAACAGCCACTCCCGTTTGGCTTGCACGTTTTTTGGAGCGATGAGTTTTATCCAATACAGCCAGCTCAAAAAAAAAATGCGCATGCAACCGCCACCTGTCCGACATGCATATAGTTTGGTACCCTTTTCCAACAATCAGGGAATTGATCCAAAACCGTGTTGTTCTCTCAGATTGTTGGAAAGAAGGAAGGCCTGGTGCCACTTGCAAAGGCACACGCCTCTAGATTTTCCCACGGCTCACAGTCAGCCCTCTTGGCACATCCCTGGGCGCCTTCTTGGCTTGCGCGCTTCTCTTGCCGTCACGCGCAGGCGCCAGCAGTCGCCGGTTTGTGCTCCGGAAGTGTCGCCACAGGAGGCCAAGCAGCGCCGAGATGGCGAGCAACCGCCGGGAGCGGCTCTGCACCAGCCAGGCCACGGCCGCCCGCAGTTTCAACATCAAGCCATGGCATGACAAGTGTCCATTGACTCACTTGCCCAGAGGACCTTCAAATCAAAGGTCCTTTGCATGACATGACTGAAAATGAACCAACTCAGGGAAACAGCCAAAAGGTTCAAAGGTCGGTTTTGGGCAAGTGGCTCAGTTGAGCACGAGACCTTTCAGCAAGTTCCACGCGTGTGGCCCTTTTGGGGCTTGGCCCCGTGTCCGTCCCAGATTGTGCAGCAGAACTTCTTGGGCAACTCCCGTGGACCCTGGAGACTTGAGCCTCGCCAAGAGGCAGCAAGCTGAACGGCAACTTGCACTTGCGCAGAGGCAACCTGAGGGACGCAAATGGAATTGAATGGTTGATTTCAATTGCAAGTCTTGGCCACTGGCCCTAATCACACGCTTTGCACGTCGCCTTGGCCAGGTTCGCTGGCCTTGCGTGGGCCACCCACTGCAAATGCACCTGCAGCAGCCTGCGCAGTGCAACGTGGCAAGCCGGGCTTTCCTGACAGATGCGCACAGTTCCAAGGATGGGCCTGGCCAAAAGTGCAGGCTCATGGTGTTTCAGGGTCTTCTCACGCGAATACGCGGCCATTTGAAGCATGGGTCTCCGACTCTCGCGCGGCATGGCGGGCATTGCTTGCAGAAACCCTTTCCGCCTGGGCAGGGTCATGAGCAGTGCCCGGTTCCAGGCGTTGTCAGCGAAGTCCTGGCAGAGGAAAAAACCCGCGGGGTGGTTTTGCCGACGCTGGTTCCCGCGCATGGCCCTAGCACAGGTTCCCAGCAACCCTTGGGACAAGGAACAAGGGCCTCCTCAAGAGCCTTCATGGCTTGGGTTGCCATGAGCGGCAAGAAGGAAGCAAACAAAGACAGATATTCTTGCAAGAGCGCGCTGTGCCACGAGTGATATGCTGATCTCAAGGCGGCCCCGACAAACGCTCCACGTCCTGCATTCTTTGCCTGTCCACCGACAGAAGCCAGGACGCCTCGATGAGGCGTGCTCAATTTGTTTGCTTCCCAGTCGGTTTCTGTTGTAATCGCCAAAGGGGGAGTCCTCTGCTATAAGGAATACGCAAATGAGAGTTCACACCAACATCTTGGGTCGTGAGCCAAGCGATGCGTCGGGTCGGGCAAATTGCATCCAGGTCTTCCAGAGTGCCCCAAACCAACAGGTCACACTGCACACACTGCATGTGTGTGTGTGTTGGTTGTGTGTGTGCATGCGAGTGTGCTTCTTTGTCTCTGCCTCAGCCTCTCAGTCTCTCTGTCTGTCTCTCTCTCTCTCTCTCTGTTTGTTGTCTGTGCCTGCGCCTGTCGGTTTAAAGGTACTCTTGTATTGGTCATGTTTGAAAGGAACGCCCAAGAGAAACCACCGTCTTCCTCGTTGCCCCCGCCCTTAAAACAAGGCGCACCATTCTCAACAATCCGAATCGTGGTTGAGGCTTTCTTCAGTCAGTCGCTGGAAATGGCCCAAACCATTCAACTCTTCATGTCAATGTGCGGAACCACCACTTGCCTCCCAGTAATTACTCAGACCTGATGTTGGCTCTCGTCAATGAGGCATTGGTGGTGATATCATTCTGGGTCGGCGTTGATTTGCCCATTAACCCCTTGATGTCGCCCCCTTGAAAACCAGCTGCAGCCAGGCTACTTGCATGTGCCCGCCCACGTGCGTGCGAAGCTCTGTGGGGAGTACCTGTGCCCAGGGGGTGGGTGGGTGTGTCACGATTGGGGGACCCTAAAATGGTCGGCTGCCTTTGGGTTTTCCCTTTTAAAGCCAACCCAAACAACACACGCACACAAATACGAGTGTCAGAGCCCTCGTGAAGCAGAAGGGCAACTGACAACCTCCTTTGCAGGGATAGAGGTAGTCATGGGGCTGGCCAGGCCCAACTGATGAAATACTCATTGAAATGGAAAACCTGGTTTCTTCTGATGGGATACGGGGATGCGGATCCCAATTGGCTACCCCAAAATGGCACCATTGGTGTTGACCCACAGCCAATTGGCTGCAGAGTCCACAGCCCCAGCCTGGAATCCATGATTTGGCACCCCGACAAATAGCATGAGTCACCTCCCCCATGTTCCACTCTTGGCGCACTGCATGCATGGACCCCCGCCCGGATCCATCTGGTGCTGCAGGCACTGGCTCGGGGCCTGGAGCCGAGATGAAGGCGATGTCTGGATCCGAAGGCGCAGAGCTTGCGTGCGGTGAGAGAACTTACGCGGAACCTAGTGCACAAAGCCCACCTTCACAGGCAGACGAAAAAGCAAAACTTTTGTCGTTTCACCCCTGAAGGCATAAACCAACAGGTGGAGGAGACCAAGACGCCCAGGATATACGTGCGAGCTGAATGTAACAGTTACTACTGCACACGTGCAGTAGCAAAATGGCCAAGAAGCCACGCTCTCGGGGACAACTTGCTGCAAAAAGCAGAAAGCGCGCTGAGCAAACAGCAACATTTGTCATGAATCTTCGTAGGAGGCGCACGCCGCTGGGCTCAGGCTTGGTCTGAGGCAAAAGTACTGGTTTACGTGCTTGCCGAATTGCCTGGCACATATTATTGTTTTCAACCACTGAAATTGGAAGAATCACACCCATCACATACTTGGACCTTGCTTGCTGCTTGCTTAGGGCTGGAATGATGCAACAATAACAAGGACAAGGGCGAGTATGGAACAAACACCTTGAGCATTCAACTTCAAATTTCAAACGACTCCACAATGGTTCGTGAATCGCCTGTCTCGAAGCACTTCTTTCAAGCCAGCGCAAGCAAGCGCAAAACCAACCATGGTTTGGGCCATGCATCTCTGGAACATCTTTGAACAATTGAAATTAATCATCTTGAAGCCTGCTTTCTACTTCCTGCGGTTCAGGCTCCAAGTGAAATCTTTGGTTGGACACCCTTCCGGGTCGCACGTTCGGCCAAGTCCCCGGCTCCCTTCAGCATCCAGCGCGAAGAAAAGGCTCACCTCCTCCGCACCCACCTCGCACCAAACTGCGCGAGGCGGACCGCCATGGCGGCTTCCAGACTGAGTGCTGCCTAGAAGTCCAACCCACGAGACCGGGACACAACTCGTGTTGTCCAGTTGGACATGTCACCTCCCTTTTGACTCCGGAGGCTGTGCCGGACAAGGGTATCATGTCACCTCCCGATTGGGAAGTCAGGGTGTTCAAGAAGTCACTTCGTACAAATGGTGACCTGTTTGGAAGTGAGAAAAGGCATCTGGTCTAGGGTAAACGGGTGCAAGCCAACTAAGTAATAACAAAGAAGCAAGGACAAAACAGGGAATGTCCCATGGCCTCTCACCATTTGCAACGAGGAAGTCATCAGCAGGTCCTACAAGAAAGAGGTGGCTGCCTTCCACCGATGGCACGAACACAACATCGGAAAACTGTTTTTTTGCCTATGGCCCCTGCTTGCTCGCGCTTCGCGTGCCGCTCATAGGCCTGCCGAGCCTGCGCTACGGATCTCGTAGGCATGCGAGTCTTGGGCTCTTGGGTACCTGCCTCTTGGTTCGGCTGGTGCTGAATGGACAGGAAGAGCCATCTCACCAAGCCTGGCAACCGGGTACTCTTGGTGGCTTTCTGCTCCCCTGCAAAAAGTTTAACTTTTAGCGGTTTAATGGAAAACCCAGTAGTTGGCAAAAAGTTAAAGTCCTAACATCCAAGCAAAATGCACCAACCGCTTTGCAGTTGCGAAGCGCTCCGTGCCGTGCAGCCACCCTGTTACTGAATTGCTTTTAACCGCCTTGTGCGGCGTGCGGCCCCCGACCTTTGTGGTACACCTCAGCAGGGCCAGGGCTGGCAGTCTGACGCTGCAAGCCATGATGCCCATCAATTACTGAATCAGTTGTTGCGTGAAGGGAAGAACACACAAGCAAAAAAAGCAGCTAAGAACCTTTCTGTCTCGAAGGAAAGCCTCAAACATCCCTGCGCGAGCACAAGGGCACAAGGCTCGGGCACACACCTGCGCTTTGCACGCTGGCGCGTCAGTGAAGCTAGAAGCAACATGGGGCAGCAGTGTGTTTTGTTGAGGGATGGTGAGGGTACCGTTTTCAGCTTGGTCTAAAAGAAAAACAGCAGGAACATCAACATTTTGGGGGGTCCCCCCAATTTTGACATACATCCAATATCACGAGCTGCGCTCGATAAACTTGGCGCTTGGCTGTTGACATGCCAGGGTCAACTCAGTTGTTCAGTGACCCTGGAAAAAAAGGGAACCCTTTTCGGGGAAGACCTTTTTTAGTGGGGCAGCCACAAAAAAAGAAGGGGAAAACGGAGTGCCACTGAACAACTGAGTCACGCATGCCGGCCTCCTCTGCAATGCCCTCCTTCAGAGTGACTTGCCGTCCTAGGGAAATGCTGTGACCTGCCAAACGCGACAGCAGGCTGTGGTTGTCAAAAATAGGGTAACCCCAAAAAGGCTTGCCCTGGTAAATGGAAACATGGACTAAAACCTGCGGTCCAATTCCTGGTGGTTTAATTTTGACCCAGACCCAGCAAGGGTGCTGTCATCGGGCTTGTTGCGCCCCACAAGGCCAACAACAACAAAAGCCAAAAGCACACATGTTCGATGCAAGACAGCCAGCGCCTGTGGCGCCCCACTCCAGCCTGCGTCGCAAAACATCCGATTAGTCGGGAGGTGCTTGAGACTTGGCCCTCCAACCTTGGCTGGTGCAAAGGAGCACAGGTAAGAGGGGATAAAAACAAACACGCAAACCTGAAGCAGACCCCAGACGTGCCAAGTTAACATGGAACCCAACAAGGCGTGCTGTCCTGTCCATGTTGTTGTGCGGAGTGATCAATTTCCCTTCTGCGAGTTACGTTATGAATGCACTTAGTATACTTAGTCACATTTCTGCAAGGTCAATATGCTGCACCATCCGATTAAACCCTGACACTGACAGCTACAAATAAATGTTGCCTTGGAGTAGAAGGGACCAGTTGCCCTATGGGTGAGGCGTTGCATTCTCGAGCCATGGCTTGCAGAGCAAACCATAGTGGTTCGACTCCACTCTGGTCCGTCTTCTTTATGAGGCTTGACGGGCTGCTTTGGAATCTTGGAAGTTCGCAATCAAACACCAATCAAAGCCTGACTCTAATCTAAAAACCAACCGAGCCTGAACAAATCCAGACGTCCCCGTCCAATAGAATCTGACTGACGATTCGTTTGGCTCATGCTTGCAGCAGCATGAAACAACTTGATTGCTTTCAGCGAGAGCAATGTGTGCGCTTTCTCCACAAATCAAGTATCAAACCCGTCCGCGCTTCCGTGCCTGAAGCTAGCTGGCGGCAACGGCGACACGAAGGGTGTGCCATGCGGAAAAACCTGAGACAGCGAATCCCGATGCAAACAGCTTGCGGCGAAGGAGTCCTGATACTCCCCGCCCCATGCGCCACTTTGCTGCTGGATGTTGCACGCCCGAAACCAGTCGTTGGGGTAGTGTTCGGACCCGCTGCCTTTTAGGCGGCCCGTGATTCCACCAGAAAAAGCTAAGAACTTGATTGACTACCATTTCTTGTGTTTGCAAAGGGTCTTCAACAGGAGCCCGAAGCTGCCCCCCAAAGCAACCAAATGGACCTTCACAGACAAAAAGCCCAAGGAGTGGCCTCAAACTGCCCGGAATCCTCCCGGCTGCTCAAAACCAGGATCGCAGCTGCTGTTGGGGGCAAACAAATCCTTGACCAGCCTCCGAAATTGGCCGGAAAGAGCCCATGCAGCGACCACGCACCTGGCCAGGGCATGTCAGAAGGTCTGTTTGTTGGCTGGCCATTTCTTGGGCGAGTCAGGGGAACCTGCTCAATTTCCCAAACGGATGGAAATCCACACAGCAAAGCGTCGTTCGAAATCTCCGAAACGCGATTGGGTCCCTACACGCATTTGGCCCATTGCATTCACAGCCTGCGTATGTTGCTGCAGCCGTCCCTCGGCTGTCCACTGGCGGCAATGGCTCACGGGGTAGGGGCCGGCAGGATTCCCTGATGCCTGGGCCGCGCTGTTTAGTGATTTGGCCATGAGGACCACAGGGCCATTGGCGATAGGTCTACCCCCCAGTGAACATCCCAATCTTTACTAAAATCGACCAAACAAATCGGTGGTGAATTCACCTACCACAAAATGGTACCATTGGTTTTGACCCACAGCCATTCAGGACCATTGAAAAGCCATAACCTGATGATACCCCTGTTATCTTCGACTAGTGCGAAGCTTCTTCAGCTTGCTGGCGTCACTATTTGCAAGTGCCATGGCACCTGCATTCCGTTTGCAAGGCTCCACCGCCATCATGCGGCATGACGGAAACGCTGTCGACAAGCTTGGATCACTGGTAGCCTGCCATGTCTGACCAACCATCTAGGGTCTCAAACGCAAAGGCATAAAATCCACGGGAGCATGCCCCAAATATCCACCCCACTATTGCAGGAGAGGATGCATCAAGCAGCCGCCAGCCACAGTCCTTCCGGAGCATGGGCATCAAAGAGGTAAACGATTTCTGTATGTGGCATCTTCGGACCGGCCCGAGCCACGGCAAATCAAGCCCTGGACTTCCTGGACCCTCAGACCCTTTGAAAAGTTGCGGCTGGCAATTGAACCAGGCCATGTCGTACATCTAAATACTAAGTAAGTAAACAACTACGGCACCTGGGAAGAACACCATCCCACAAAGCGATTCCATGTCATTCAAAAAAAAACAGATCGCTGGGTTCAGGTGGTTAAAAGAGCCACCGCTCTCCTCCAGGCGCTCTGGCGCTTGCAGGGCTGTCTCCACTTCCTGCTGCGCTGCTGCCTCCCAGGTTGAGCCCCGTTGAAGCCGACTTGGCACCCTTCAGGTGATACGTAGAATCAGCCAACAAAGCCAAGCTTGGTATCGCCTAGCTTGCTGTCGATTGCTGTCTGGCTTGGATGCAACTGTCGTCTTCCCATTGCGGGCGGAAAAACTCAGCTGTCCTTGGACCGCTGAAACCTTTCCAAGGGTCCCTCAGTTCTTGAGCCTTTTGCACCCAAAGGAATCGCACGTGACGAGCCCTTGGCACAACTTCTAGTTCCGGGGGCGGATCGCCAACAGCGACTCACCACCCTCCTTGCAGTTCTCCCACACCCGCTCCTCACGGCAAGCGGCAAGCGGGTGGCCGTGAATCAGAGCACAGGAAGGAAGCAAGGCACATGCCTGACCCAATTGAAACTGAACTCCAACATTGTGCTTGTGCTCTGCCTGAAAGCACGAACTCTCCAAATTCATCATCTGAATTTTGACATCCCCTGAGACAAAGACCCTCGCGAACCCCTGAATCGCTCGCTCCTTGCTGCCCTCGCGGAGGAGCAAAGGGAGCATCTGAGACAGCGGCCTCCCAAACAATTCCATCACCCGTTTCCTCATAGCCGTGGTCAAAATACGGCGGTCCCAGCATTGGACTGGAGAAAGCAACGGATTGCCGCAGTGTTTGCTTTCCTTGCTGGGATTTTAGTAAGCCTTCCATGTCCCCCCCAAAATTGACCCCACGCCTACGCTCTCGCTCTCTCTCTCCCTCTCTCGCTATCCCGCAATGACAGTAGACTATGGTACACAAGTCAACCGAACCTCAAGCCCATGAATTTCTATTCGGATTGGCGCTGGGGTTTTCCCAGCAACGTGTTTTTGTTCGTTTTCCGTATGGGTCTGTGCACAGTGGCACAACCCAAGACTTGCTGGTCCTCAGCAAGGAATGAGGGGATGACCCCTAGAAACCAGCCTTGTGGTTTCCTTTCAGGGAATGCCAGGCTCATTCCATGATTCCCTACTGGGCACCAGCAAGAAGAGCAGGAGCCTGCTCACAAGTCGGCACTTGGTTTAATGAGCTCCCCGTGCGGCGCCTCATAAAATCATGCCCTGGAGCGAGCAGGGGAAATACTTGCATTTGCGTAAGGACGCCCCCTGAAAAAAAATAACATCATTCCAGTGGTGATAGATTCCATTTAAAAGCAACAGGGGAAAATACACAACACATTCGTTTCAGCAAATGGAAGTACACGCTTGAACCTTTGGGAAAGGAAGACAATCAGCCAGCGCATAGGTTGCGCATGCGAGTTGCAACTTTCTCCCTGATGCTTTTTCAAAGCAACTGCGGTGGGATGCGACAATTGCTCACCTGATCAGCGCTCTGCAGCTGTTGACTTTGGGCTCTGCCAACATGTGAAGCCAACGAAGCCATGCCCTTCGGCCACGCCCAGAAACTGCTGTCTACGGTACACGTGCTAGGGCAGCCCTGAAGCACACACCCGTGCCGCCCATGTCACGCCTCGAGACCGGACTCCGGCGCACCCAGAAGCCACAGGAAGCTGAAAAGGAAGCTGAAAAGGCAGAGGACCACCCCCCGACCAGCGTGCTGAACCGAATATCCCATCCAGCCCTCCAGGATTTGCCCGGCATGGTGACTCTTCACCCTTCGACGCCAGCTGCGGCGCCCCCGCTGCAGCCAAGCCGTGGCAGCCCCGGCCAGCAAGGCAACATCCTCAACTCCAAGCTTCAATCTCCCCTGCCCAAAGGTGGCGGCGCCCAAGCAATGCAGCTGCAGTGGCGTTCTGTCGGATCTGGGCGAGGTCGATGCGCCCGAACGTGGCTGGGAGACCGAACTCCACCAACTCTGCCTCCCCTGGCCGGACCGGCCCAAAGGTGGGCGCGGCCAGCTGTGGGAAGGCCAGAACTCGTGGCACCGTCCCTTGGAAGACGACTTTCCTTCGTGGAAGTTCCAAGGCCCATTCCTTCTGACGCCTGCGCTCGTGCGTCGCCTGTCCCCCCAGTTGATCCGCCTCTGCAGCAGCTCTGGCGGCAGGATGCCCCACGCACGCTGGGCCTGAGAAACGCAGGTCCATGACAGGTGCAGCTTCTGGGGGAATCGGCAGATATTGGGAACCTTTTTCTGGACGCTTGGAACAGGAAGGTGGAAGGAAACACCTTGATTATTCGGGAACACACCCATCTTTTCTACATGCACATCCAAGGGGCAAGGGTGATTTCCAAACAGGGCATAACACATCTCGTAGCATCACTTGCCAACCAGTGATGGCTCATGTTTCAGGCAATTCCCTGCCAGGTGTGGGGAACACTTCAAAAGGGAAGCCACGGGCGCATGTCGAGTCCACTCGCTGAGATGCCCCAGCTTCAAGGCACCAGTAGTTCATTGCCTCGCTGGACCTCAGCACAGATGTCGCGAAAAAGGTCGCTGAGGATCGGATGCTTCAGAACCGCGAAAGTTGCTTCGACCAAAAATCGGCACTCGAAATCGGCGCCGGGGACTGGTTGTCCCGAGTTCTTCGCTTTAGCCCGTAAACCTCCAAATGGCAAACAATGAGCATTCTCATAGGCTCTTTGTGATGTAGCCTGGGGCTACACCCTTGGGTGACCCAACCATGCTCCAACATCACAAGGGTTTACCTGCAAATGTGATACTAGGTTACACCCTTGGGCGCCAACATGTCTAGGAAACGGTTTGGATGCGGTTTTTGTGGATCCACCCTTGTAGGATAGCAAAAGAGTACTAAAAGAGTATTAAAAAGGAACAACTAGCCAAACAACATGGGGAAACCACAGAAAGCTCATCCAATCCGTTTGCTGGAACATGCTCCAACATAACAAGGGACCATGACTTCCCAGTAGCATTCCCAGGGTGTCAATCCGCCTGGGGCCCCGCCTGGGATCCAGCCTTCCTTGTAGCTGCCGCAACCTTACCACAAGAACCGGCAGCAGGTGGGATTTCCCTTGGTTCAAACGCCTGGAAGACCAAACTGCTTTAAGGCCATCTTGACCCATGCGGCTCTGGCAGTCCGGACGGCTCCCTGTGGCTCCCTATTCCATGGAGCTCTGGGTTCACAGTAAAGTTACTCCCTGAAGCTCCATCATGTACCTACATGTTGCATCTTCGTTGCAGCTCCCCTGATGGCTCCCGCTGGCCCTCTCGCTGAGACTTCCCACACGACATCAGCGCTGCGGCGCGCTGCATCTCGCAAAGCTTTCCTGCAAGGCCCCCCCGAGTCCCTGAGACATGGAATGACCCCACCACAAGGAGTTGGCAAGGTCAGTGCAAAAACCCACGAGCCACAGTTAGCAAGGGAAACAAATGGCCCTCTACGATCCCAGTTTGGCCAGATTCCTTCGGGTCCAGATCCGATCCCGGTCTGGGCCTACTGAAATTGCAGCACGTGAGTGAATATCCTCCCACGAGCTTGCCTCAGATTCTTTCTTGGGGCTGGCTACGCTTCTCCTTGCCCACGTGGCCCTGGCAGTCTTGGGACCGCGGAAAATTCTGCGATATGGCACAAGTGGGAAGGTAAGCAAGTGTCAGTGATCGACTGCACATGCACAAACTCCCGAGTCCTTCCCAGAAGCCCAGGCACACTTTCTGGCAGTTTGGCCAAGTCTTTGTGCACTCCAGCTGGACCCTGGCACGATCAAAGAGTCGGGCGCAATCCTCATCTGCAGCTGGCCACAACACAACGCGGTTGGCGACAAAGCCCTGCAGCCGCCGCCATTGGAATAGGTTGCATCTTAGCCTTGTGTGCAGCAAGAAATCTCCCCAAGAAATCTAAACACACTCCATCATGTCCCGGAGGTTCGCAGGGCGGGGACACTGCAAGGGGCACTCTGAAGGCTAGGACGCTCGCGAGAGGTGGAACCCAGGTGCAAGAAAGTGTAAGCAGCGGGCGGTACGGACAGTCAACAAGAAGGCGTCAAAACGTCAAACGACCCCACCCCCATGTTCGCCTCCCTAGGCCGTTCCAACTGGAAGTGGCACCAGGGGAATGTGGGCGAGCTGCGGCTGTCCCAAAGTGCCTCAAGCAAGGCGGGCTGGGGAAAAATCGATGCTCCTGACATGGACAGCAAAACAAGAGGAAGTAAAGCCGGGATTGCAAGAAGTCCTGAAAGTTAGGGTCTCCAATTGTGGCGTCCTGATGTGCTCATGCCCGCCAAAATTGAGCAGGGGAGCAACAGCCCCAAACTCCCGTTGACCACTGCTGTGGCCACATCTAAGAGTCCCCTGCTTGAAAGCCACGAGGCATCAACATCCAACTTCCTGTCTCAAAAGCCTCTGATGTCCTCCTGCCTAATGTCAATACCTTCTTGAGGTTGCCTAATGCGGCTGAGGCTTCAAAAGGCGAAGCCCGAAAAAAAGCCTCAAAGCTGATGTGCCGTTCTAAGCATTTTTGAGCCTATGCCAAGTCGTAGCATCTAGATTCCGAGCCATACTGTGGATAAACAAAATCCTGCACCACTTTGAAGCGCCATGCGGAAACCATTGCTTTGGTATTTACAGCGGGGTCAATCTTCCAGGGTTTGATAGGTGGTGCAGGATTTTGTCCATCCACAGTATGTGAGCCATGGTCACAAAGTCTCGACATCCCTCCCAAATGAACCATGTTCCTTATGCATGCCACCAGAGTTTTTTCCAATGGGACTCAGGTTGGTTGTCTAACTCCACACCAGTTGGCCCGGAGTTTGCCATTCATATGGGCTGCATCCCAACTGTTGCAATATGTTGTTCATCCATCCGTAATACCCCCCCCCCCAGTAAGATGTCCATGTCTTTCAGCTCGCCTCGGGGCTCTCCCAGCGGGGCTGCAGCACCCAGCCGTAGCTGCCAGCCGCCTGCAGAGCCGCAGCCAGTTGCTCCACACAAACGCCGAGCAAATGGCCCCATCGACAAAAGGATGCGGTTGCCATGCATACGTCCTGGTTGGGGGAGATTAACCCCATCCCCTTCGAGGAACGAAGCAGTGCTTACGTGCGCGGAACATCCCTCTCTCTTAGACTAACCCATGCCCACTTGCTGTTCACATGGAACCCTTCTCCACTTTCAACTCACACATGTCCAAATATGCAGCTGGCAGATTTCCCTGCGAGATTCAACATGCCCCAAGCAGTCCCTAGACCGTCCTATGGGTTTCATGGTTTTTGCACCGCATTCTCTGGCCCATGGGTTTCATGGTTTCATGTCTCGCAAAAACTCGGGAAACCCAGAGGTCAATCGCATGCCGTCTATCAACCTCTCGGGGCACACCCAGCCAGCCTTGCCGGCGGCCGAACCTCAGTCACTTCCCCGGCCTAGGGTGGCCTGGAGGGTCCCTTGGTACCTCCTGATTTGATGGCTTTGGGGGGTAAAAAGGGCTCGTTCAGTACCTCCCTAGAAGGTATTAAGGGACCCTCTGACTGGGGTTGCTTCTTACTTGCAGCTTGCCATTTGCCGGTTTGGCCTCAGGGATTGCCATGCAGCGCTGCTTGCCGTGTTTGATGTTTGCCTCGTCTTGCTTCTGAATTCGTTGAGATAAATGCCTGGTCCCTGGCACATGCCGTGTGCTGCTGGGTATCGGATGCTGGAGATTGGCGATGGCGGTGCTTGCGATATCGGCTGTTGTGCTGATTTCGCCGTCCGGCTGACAAGCAAAAGGCTCAAGAACAGAATTACACAGCCCTCGGCCTGTTCTACAGGGATCGAAGAGCAGGTCACTCCTAGCCAGAAACCTGTAGCAACTTGCGAGCGCCCTGCCATGGGGGGCTTCCTCAAAGGTGAAGCGCCACAGCCTCAGTGAGGCTCCAAATGCCCCTTGTCGCCTCCGAACAACACAGACGCGCGAACACTCGGCCACGAGTCCCAAAAAAGGAACTTCCACAACTCGCCGCCCGATCCGAGGCTTCATGATCCTTCCTTTGGCAAGGGCCAGGGCCACGCAACACGAAGCTAACATCCGTGCTCAGCTTGCAGTGCATATGAAGCTGCAGCTTCCAGCCATTTTCCATGCCCTTCCTTCAATTAGCCTTCAATGGTGCGGCAAACAATCATACAACTCCAAGCAGCATCTGGCGGGCCATTTTCCCAGTTTTCGCAAGAGCCTTCTACAGCGAGTCTTTGTTCCAATTATGGGCACGCTCAGTTTGCCAGAGTACCATCTGCCATGCCCGCAAAATAGACATCCGCCACAGCAAGCAAACACAGCGCTGTGACCCTCCCAGCACGATTGGCACTATTGGCACCCTCTGGCTCCGAAATGTTTGCCGAATATACCAGCCCAAGATCTGATCCTCTTGGCACGCTTGCAATCCCTACACCAACAATCACAAGGCTCTGGCACTGTTTAAACACGGGGGATGGGGCATTTTTTCCAAAATACAAGCGTGCCTGGTGCATTTGAAGGTGTGCACTTCCTTTCATGCTCTCAGTTGGTCTCCGCCGACTCCGCCGACTCATTACACTTTGGGCACCGCAATTCTAATCAGAATCCGCCCATTCTTGTTGGAGAGGCTGCCGTCCTGCAAGCCAACGTGTTAGCTGAGGCGTAGAGCACATCACTGTTTTATCCGTAGGTGTCCTTTTAGGGGACATAGATGGCCCCGGTAGATGATTAAACCACCAGGTAAACCAGGAATCGCCATCTATTTTTCTACCAACACAACCAGCAAGGACACCTATGGTTCCATCCGCAGGCCCCATTCTTTCCCGGATGCTTCTTTTCAGGAACTTGCCGATGGATGAACAGAATGGGGGCATCAACCACTCGGACTCTTACGTCTTTCTAACCCAGAAAGGGATTGCACTCTGTGCAGGGCCCCGCTCCTGGTGCAAGTTGAACATGCCCATATCTTTCCTGAGTGCGGGTGATAGCCAACGCAGCCCGACAATGAGACATCAGCAACGGCCAACAGTCCGAATAAATCAAAAGGAGCACAACGCCTGAATATAAATATAGCAAATGCCCTAACATGGATAAGGGCGATTCATTCTTTGAGAATGACACAAATCAACATAACCGATGTGCGAGGACTCTAACTGAATGTTTCTCAGACCTAAAAGGTCGACAGGCCATGAGTTCACAGATGTTTTGCACCGAACATGAAACTCAAGCAAGCGTCCCCCTTTGTTCCGCGTGCAGAAATTGTCTGCTCACATAGAATTGAGCTTATTATTTTATAACCCCTGCGTCCTTATTAAACAGATGTGCCGCCTTGGCCAAACACCCCACCTGACTATGTCCTCCGCACAGATCAGTTGCCAAAGACGGCAACAAGTTAAACCTCGCCTGATGGGAGTTTCAGGCCCTCATGTTGAGGCAACCAATTGTAAATTACCTGACCATGTCAGCAGGAGAAACGACAGTGGACCCGAAACTGATACCCGGATACCCGGCACCCGTCAAAACTGAAGGGTGCCACCCAAACCAATCGCCCTGGTCATAGGGATGGTACATCCGCATGTTGAGTCAGCCAAGCGTCTTATAGTCCCAAATCATTTCGAGCGCGCCTGTGCATGTGTCTCTTGAGGATTTGGACCCCAAAATGGCGGATCGGCTTCTGACTTCCCTTGAAATCGGCCTGAAAAGGGTAATGCTGACCCCGGATTAATGAACCATAATAAACCCCGTGTTTATTAGCACGGGGGTGTTCCTCTCCAAAAGTGAGGAATCCCCCACTAAAACCGAGGACACTCCCATATTAATGAACAGGGGTTTATTGATCTGGGGTCAACATTACCGGTGAACACCCAGAAAGCCTTCTAAAAAGACAACAGTGGAGTAACCCTCCCCAACAAGTCGCCTTAGGTTTTGACCCACAACCTAAAGGGTACCAAACCTCGGAAATTTCTCCAACACCCCCGCCTGGTTTCGAGCTCCTCGCCGTGTGAAAGGCCCGGCCACCCTCTCCCACCACGAAGTCTGTGCCGAAGGTGTGCAGCCTCACCACGGTGTCCCGCACGTCGTCCGAAATATCCGCCACCTCCCAGCCGAAAGGCATCAAAATCCGTGTCTTCCTGGGCTCAGGCACTGAAAAAGACACGCTTGAACGAAGGAACGAAACAAATCACTGACTGGCCGCTGACTGGCTGGCTGAATGCATTAAGCAAACGAAACAAATAAAAGAAAGCAATAAAGAAAGAAAGAAAGAAAAACAGAAAGAAAGAAAGAATGCACGCATGCATGCATGCCTGCATGCATGAATGCGATGCATGGACGCATGAATGCAATAATGAGTGCTGAATGAAATCAACGACTAAACCAAAAAAAACGAGGCAATGAAAGAACACATGCATGAATAGATGGCTAAATGAACGAATAAGGTGAAATCAAATTAAATAAAATGAAATGAAGCGAATGGACATGAATAAATGAATGAATGAATGAATGAATGAATGAATGAATGAATGAATGAATGAATGAATGAATGAATTCATGAATGAATGCCTGCATGCACGCATGCATGCACGCATGCATGCATGCATTGATTCATGCGAATGCACGGACGGATGGATGCAATAATGCATGCAAGCATGGATGAATGAACGAACGAACAAATGCATAAATTAATGACTGAATTTGATGAATCAACAAATGCCGAACAAACGAATCAATGAATGAATGGTTGTCTGAACGAATGAGGAAATGCATGACTTCGGATGCATGGACGCATGAATACAACAAGGCGTGCAAACATCAATGAATGAAAGTTGAATGAATGAGTGAGTGAGTGAGTGAGTGAGTGAGTGAGTGAGTGAGTGAGTGAGTGAGTGAGTGAGTGAGTGAATGAATGAATGAATGAATGAATGAATGAATGAATGAATGTTTGAATGAATGAATGAATGAATGAATGAATGAATGAATGAATGAATGAATGAATGAATGAATGAATGAATGAATGAATTAATGAACAAACGAACAAACAAACGAACAAATGAACAAATTGATGGATGAATGAATGAACAAATGCATGAATGAATTAATAAATGAATAAAGGAATGAATGAACACATGAGATGAACTGAAATGAACTGAAATGACATGACATGAATTGAACGATTGAATCAATGAATGAATGTATGCTTGAATCATTAACCGAATGGATGGATGACTTTGTGAATGATATATGTATGTACATGCGATTGCCGGCCGAATGCAACATAAACAACACATGGAACGCCAGGGGGAAAGGAGGAAAACACAACTCGAGCAAGTGGTTTCAGCCGCAGATCGAAACTGTCCAAAAACACGTAAACTTCTCCAAGCGTAAATGAAGGAGCTTAATCTCAATGCCTCAGCCGATAATCGTGCATGGGAACGAATGCATGCTTCTGCGGACACAAAGCTGCCTCAGAAATGCCCTTACAATGGCCTTGGTCTTCCAGGACCCTGAAAAAGCAGGCCTGTGGCTGATTTTCCTTTTTCTACCAAGAGCCAAATCAAGAAGGACCCTGTTTTTGCGGGCCCTTGGAAGACCAAGGATGGGTTTGTATAAACGGAAAAGTCATAAAAAGTCTCTGCGGCTCAGCTTCTGCCCCGCTGCATCGCCGCCTGAGTTCGGGGGGGTAAAGTCCAAGGTCGCGTAGTAGTAGCCATTGAACTCCACTGAATTTGCCCGTTGCTCCTCCGTGACCTGGAGAGCCAAGCCAAATGCTTGAAATACCATTGCCACAACTGGCTGCGAAAAAAATCAAAGCTTCACACAAAGTAATTACAACGTCAACCTGGTCATATTGAGGTTTACACATGGCCAGTTGATAAAAAAAAAATAAAAAAAAATAAAAAAAAAATACACCCGCAACCTGCTCATATGGCTGTGCCTCCCAAAACCGGTACCAAAATGGAGCCCTAGTAAATGGAACCAAAGACTAAAACCCGCGTAACCCCCCCTGTTTAATTTTGAGCCACACCCATATAAAGGTTTACACATTGTTGATTGCCCTGCGTCTTGTTCGACACATGGCCGCCTGTGGCTTGTCTGGCCCACGTACTGCCGGCGGCGGGATGCGCTTCTCCGTGATGCTCTTCTTGGGGTCTGGGCGGCGGTCCCGGTCGTCGCGGCGGTCTCGGCGGTCTGGGCTGCGGTGGCTGCGGCTGCGCGGTGGTGGGCTATATCCTGGAACCAGAAACCGTAAGCATTCATTGGCCCAAGGTAGAGGCCTTCATGCCCTAGACCGTGCCTCAAGCTTCGGACAGGAAAAAATGAAAGAACACATCTCAAAACGTCTGCCGTGAGGCGAGCGTCGGCTCACGGGGCTGCGGGGGCGGTCACGCCACGAGCGGCTCAGGGAGCGGCTTTTGCGGCGGGGCGCATCCCGGCCATCCCGGCCCCCGCTTCTGCCGCTTCCCCGCCGGGACCCGCTACGCCTGGGCGGGCTGCGGCTCCTGTCGCGGCGGCTCCGCTCGCGGCTGTCTCGGCGAGGCATGGCAGGCCCGGAGTGGTGCGGGGAGCTTAGACTTACTTCCTTCCCTGGAGCCGCAAGAAGCAAATGCAATCCTCGCCGCACTGTGGATGGACAAATTCCTGCACCACTTTGAAACCATGGGAAGACATCGAATCATTCGTTCTTAGGTGGTGCGAAATGATGCGAAATGGAATTCCTTGCCACCAACCAGGCGGTGTACCGTCCCTTGCGGTTTCTTCGGCCTGAGGTCTGCGCTGGTCATGGACCACCACGCGCGCGTAACGCTTGTAGACGGCCTTGAAGCCAATACCCATGAAGCCTGGCTGCAGGTCTCGCCAGCGGATGTGGACAAATGGCTGTGGGTCAAAAATAGGTACCCCAAATGGCTTGCCCTGGCAAGTGGAAACATGGACCAAAACCAGTGGTCCCCTGGTGGTTTCATTTTGACCCATAATCCTTCCATTGCTTCTGACTTTGGGCCCGCCCCAGTCCAGCAATTCATGGCCAGGCCCCATCAAAGGGCCTTGCAGATTCACATGGAACTGCTATGCAAATCTTCGGTGCAGGTCCTATCTGCCCCCTTGGTTTCCACTCCCCGCGTCTTCTGGCGACCTCACTTTCCGGGGCTCCGGGCCAATGGTGCGCTTCTGCCCCCCGCCATCCCCCTGGCGAAGTGACTCTCGCGCGAGGCTCGGCTTCAATGGGATCAGGGGATCCGCTCCGAATCGACCCACCAAGACCACACCAAGACCACAAGCGCACCCTAAGCCAACCCTGCGAATCGACCTAAGGCCCTTTGCAGACTGTAGAAAGCCCCATCTTGCTGCGGCAAAGGGCAATCTGGGGCGGATGTGGGGGAAGCAGGGGCCGGTGCAGGTGCTTCGGGTGGTCCTGCCTTCGTCGAAAGGCCTACTGAAGACAGCCCCAGCACGTCTAAAGCAGTGAAGCGCCTTGGTGAATCACAGTGCTTCAGTTAACCTACTGGCACGTCATATCCACGGGCCGCTGACTTGATGGACTCTGCTGGGGGGAAGCCCTAAGTCATGCCTAAAAGAAATGTGCTTCCAACTTCACCCTACCACTCTCAGCCAGAGCCAATCAATGGGCATTGGTCCGCAACCGTTTCTCACCTAGACCCTCAACACCCTGACTCATGTTGCGCCCAGCGCGCCCAAAACACAAACTTCAGCTCCAGGGCCCGATGAATCGAAAGGCTAATGTCTGGGCCGCAGGCCTGCCGTCGTGCTTCACGGCCAAGCCCCGCTGTGTGGGCTCAAAGCACCTGAGCAAAACCAACAAACTTCAGGTGACACCGTAGGTCGACTTGGAAGACTACCAAATGCACCAGCTGTAACTTCTACTAGGTGATCAGCCTAGACACACAGAAGGTGACATTTAATTAACAAGTCGACCATCTCTTTAAGTGGACCCTTGGCTGGTCCTCCAGTCGAGAGGTTAGAATAAGGGTATACCCTTTTTCCCTGTAGTCTCTGTTAATAGGGGAACCCCCCCAAAAAAAGAAACGGTAAAAGGGCACCTCTCTGGGGCACCGAGTTGGTATTGGACCAGCTTCAGGCCAGGAAGTTGGGGATTTACCAAAGAGCTCTCTCTGTCCGAGGCAGGAGACGCCTCAAGCCTCTGGTTTGTTGTTGCGGCAGCAAAACGCCGCCGGAAAATTGCCAAGGATCCCAAGAATCCCAAGAATCCCAAGGAACCCAAGAATCCCAAATTTTTAAGGATCCCAAGGATCCCAAGGAACTCGAAGGACGATGGAAAATCGCCCACCCAAAGCTGCTATGCTCGACCTGCCACTCGCGGAAAACACGGAAACGCAGCTCTCAAGGGTTCCAAACCTATCCCAAGCTATGCCCTTTGAGCATCACCCCAAGCGACAACTTGCTGAGCGGCTCAGGTGTTGAAACGCACCTAAAGGGAGAATAGAGGCAACCCTGCCAACTGCAAGATGCCCGCATCCCTCGAGCCTGAGGGCACACTTCTAGGGCTACCTTCCCCATTCTTTCCAGGGATCCTTCTTTTCAGGAAACCATCAAGAATCAAAACCCCAGGGAAGCAGCAGGTTTTTGAAAAGAACGATGGTGGAAAAGAATGGAAAAGGAATCATCCCCTAGAACACGGCTCTTCAGGGCCCTGAAGCCAGGTCTCCGACACATGCAGGGCGCCGTCATCCACCTCAGAGTGTCAACCTGTGACCTCTACGCCAAATTCGTGCGCACGTCTGCCTCACCTCTTGCCCCTGAAACCGACCTCGTGGATTCTAGTCTGCAGGTTGGACAACTTTGGCACGCAAAATCACGCCAAGGATGCAAACTTGGTGGGGGACTGCATTTTGCAGGACCTCGAAGAGGTAAAGGTCCGATCCTGAGTTCATACGAGCAGAACGGACCACGCAGCCATCAAAGTGGTATGGTGCTGTGAGGACTGAGTTTCATCTGGAGAAAGCGAAATTGAACAAATGTCTTGAACAAACTTGCACCGGCCCAACGAAAAGAAACACAAAAAACACCTGATTTGCTAAGGGCCCGGCTGGCAAACTGCTTCTCCAAAATAGACCTCGGCTTCCCCCTACTGGCTGCAAGCCAGCCAGCCATGCGCGGGCGCGCTGCCCTGAGAGTCCCGCAGAAACCCGCGGGTGGAAGGCTCCAGGACCTCCAATAGCGGCGGTGGGAAGTTGGTTCCAAGGGAAACCAACTGGAAATCACCTGAAACTGCCCGGCGAGCACAACACTTTCAACATCACAGCTTGTCGGGGGCTCTTCGGGCAAAATTTCAACAATGAAGAGGCATTGTTCAGGTACCCGAGCCCTTTTCTCAGTCCAAGCACTGGCCCACGCCTGTCTACTCTCGATCTAAAGGCTTCTTCATGGTGTCAACACTGCATAGCGCATGTCCCTATATAGGGTTTCTTGTAGTTTTTGAGCTGAACAAGACTTCTTTCCCCAAGCGCGCTTCTGAGTGAGTTGTTCGCAACAGATCGCCAAATACTCTTGGAGCACGTGCTTGAAGGGCACATAGTGACGTAGCGTTTTCCCGTGACCGAGCTTGGCCAACGGTGGATGCGTCTCAGCGAAAGCAGGGCCCACCTGCACCGCATAGTAGCGCTGAATTGTGCGAACCACGACCTGTGCAAGTCAAGATGGGGTGTATCTTTGGATTCTTTCGAGCCAAGAATGAACGGGTCGGTTTACTGCCTCTTGAAAACCCTCCAGCGCAGGCTCTTGATGCTTGCTCGCGGCCGCTGGAGGGGAACACGCTTCCAAAAAAAAAGAAACGCACGGTGGTGCCTTGCCTGGTTCGGCCAAGCCCACAAGAAAAAAAGTGCATGCCCCATTTTGTTGCTCACCCAGCACAAGTTGAACAAATATTGCTCTATCTTGAAAACACAAGACCCAACAGAGGGAGACTAAGATTGCTGGCACAAAATTTGATGCATATTCTGACCACAAACCCCGGCCTCCGCCACAGCCTCCGACATCCGGGCTGCTCGCCTGGCCGCCTGGAGCCAAAGCAAGGTGGATGCCCTACAAGTCCGAAGTAGGCGCAATGAACTCCGTGTTGTTCCCCGTGTTTCACCGTCTTTTTTGTGGTTGGAAGTGGTGCGCTTGCAATATTTCGGCGAATTCACTGCAAGTGACCGTTTTTTGTTCATGGAAACTGGCAAGGAAGGACTGGGCGGTAGGGGAAGTGAACAAGCAAGAGCCGTCAACAGATTGTGAGACGAAATGTGTGCAAACAATGCAAGCCTTGCCACAACTAAAATCCAAGCAATTCGGTTGTGGAGCAAAGCTCGACCCGCTTTCCATCCATGGCATATGTTTCAACTGGTTCAACTGGGAGAACGACGCTCTAATAGGTACTTCGCAAAGTGAAGGGACAGTTGCTCTCACTCAAAGTCCGCGTCAGACTCCTCACTTTTAAACGGGTTCATGTTTAGCACCCAAAGCTAAAAACATTCGTTATGCGTTGTTTCGCTGGGATTTCGGCTTCAGTCAAAACTTGACATCAAGCAGCATGGGAAGTGAAGCTCGCTTAACTCACTTGCCCCTTCGGGATCCAGAAATAGGTGAACCTTTTGGGATCTTGACTAAAATTCGCAGAAACTTCCTTAAGACATCAAACTTTAAAAACACCAAAACAAAAAAAGTGCACTACCACAGTCCCCCAGTCTCCAGATTTGACCCGGTCGATTCATGCTTTGGGCGGGTTAAACTAAAGGCTTGATCCATTCTTGGTTGACGTTGGAAGGGGAGCAAAAAAATACAATTTGGTAGTTAAGTGGGGATTCCCACCACTAAACCACAATAAGCTATAAGCAAACATGTAAAATGAATCCCAACAACACCCGTGCATTTGCCTCCCAGTCGCGGCGCCTCCTGGACTGCTGCTGGGCTCTGGGACGGCAACGCCTGTCCCTGAGTCACTGAGAGCCCGAGGCGCTCGACGCTGCGATTTTTTATGTGACCGACTGTGGGTGGACAAAATCCTGCACCACTTGCAAACCATTGTTGGTTGGTATTTGCAGGGCAAGCATCATTTCAGGGTCTCTGAGGTGGTGCAGGAATTCGTCCATACAGTATGAAAGGGTTCCCAGGTGAAAAAGCAGATGGGACCACTCCCTTTATGTTGGAAAGAAAAAGGGGTGACTAAGTCAAGCTGGAGGATGTGGAATCCAAGTATTTTCACCCAACATGAAAGAATAGATGGCACTGGTAGATCAGTGAAACTGAACCACAACCAGGGCTATCGGGCTTCAGCCAACAAACTAAGACAGCTAATTATTGTTATAACTACCCAAAAAAATGCAGGTGTCTGGTGTTACAACTCCTGCAGCGAAAGGAAAGGCGGCAAGTCGGAAATCATATGTCAATTTGTTTGCACCCCTGTCTTGCAGGGAACAGCAGGGAGTGGTAGATTGAACCAACCCGTGCTTCGCGTGAAGGTTTCAGGAACTAAGCGAACGATGCCCGGCCCTACCCACTGGGTGCCTCCATTTTGCTGCTATAGAATTCAGCCAAAACTTTCTCTGCCCGAAACGCCTCGTGAGCAAAGTCTTACAGGGCCCGGGTCTGTATGTCAACATTGTTTGACACGCATCAGCAACACCAGGAATTACCCAACCCGCCTTGTCCCCTCCCGGTAATGCGGACACCAAATACAATTTGATTGTCACGAGCTGCGTGCGGAACTAAACACACCCCTCCAAGCTTCTTATCTTCCATTGGCATTCCAAACGCAATTGCGTCGGCTTTGCGCTTGCTCTTCAGCATGCTTGATGCGCGCACGTCGGAAACTATGTAGGATCCAGGAACCCCTATATACCCCCAACAAATAAGATGGACGAAGTGGGTTGAAGTCAACGTATCAAGCAAGCAATATGGTTGAGCAAAGCAAGGATCTAGAAAACGGTTTGGATGTGGTTTTTGTGGTTTCACTATTGTAGAAGGTTAAAAGAGTACTAAAAGAGTACTAAAAAAGGACCAACAGGGGGAAGAACACGTGAAATCCACAAAAGGCGCATCCAAACCGTTTCCTACAAAAAACTGAAAGCCTCAATATATACACAACACACATGGCATACATGCGTGCGTCCTTTGAGGGCATCCTCCCAATGCGTGTAACTCTCTCTCTCTCTTTTTTTTGCGGGTACCCCTTCTTAACTTTTTGGTGTTTAAAGGAAAGTCAAAAGAAAGCACCTTGCAAGGATGGTTCATTTGTGCCTGAAGCGCCCTTGTGTAAGCCATTTTGGGTACCAATGGACAACCCTTGGAGGGTGCTGGAGGACAACACCACCTTGTTTTTGTCTTCTTTTTTGGGGCGTTTTGGTCCCGCCAAAAAAGAACAACACACACACACACACCCAACCCTTCGGAGCAAAGCATGCCAGGAGCCCGGGCTTGCCAGCTCCAAGCCATAGCCTTGCCTGGCACTGCGCCTGGGAGGGACTGTGGCTGTGCTGAGGGGCTGACTGGCCCAAGCCCTGAACAAGCAAACACGACTAGACACCTGGGCAGTACCAATTCTGATATCTGCTCATCCTGAAACAGGCTTCTGACCTGGCTACCCTTGCGAAGTGTTGGCAAAACAGGGTGTTCGTCGCTTGAACATGGCCATGCAAGCCAAACCGGGAGCACAAGGCGAGGTGGGCGCCGGGCGCCGGGCTGCTTCTGACCAGCCACAGTGGTGGCACATCTTGCTCTGGAAGCCCCACTGCCTCGCAAACACTCAATGGGCACAGAGTCTGAAGCCCCTTGAGGCCCTTCAGTCCATGGGATGTCCTAAAACTGGGGACATCCAATTTAGGTTGATTTAAGAAACACCTTTGAAGCAGCAACTATTTGTAAGGATCCCATGGATAAACATCTCCAGGCCCTCAGACAGCTCGGGCGTCTTGTTGTTTTTTTTCGGGGGGCTTGCATGGAGCCTCCAAGTGGGTATGTCTTAGTTTCAGGGTAAAATTCAAAAAATAAACCACAGGAACACCGCTGTGCAATCCATGTTACCCTCCTGGACAATGGCAATTCTCATGCTATTCTCTGCATGTGCGTTCCTGTGTGTGTGTGAATCCATTGCTGGTAGTTCTGGAGAGCTTGAACGGAGGAAGATTCATCCCGCGTAGCCCCTGATGTGCCGATGGAGCACACGTGAGCATTGTGGGGTATGGTTGGCGGGTTTGCGCCACCAAGGCTTGGACTAATGATTGACCTTGCAAGAGAGCTGACTGGGTTGGTAATTATCGTCCCCTGGAACCGAATGAGGCCATTGTTGGTGAGAGGGAGCAGCTTCCAACACTCCCGCGGCGGATGGGGGGAAAGGGCCCATCCGAGGAAGCAAAATGCCCAGCGACGCTGGGAGACGAAGGAGGGCTGAGGTGGGTGGGTCCACGGACACCGTGAAAGGCTTGTCCCGTGAGAACGAGCAAACTATGAGCGAACAGGAGCCGGCAACAGGGTTCCCTATTCCCCACACTCCGCCTCACTGCGCCTGTAAACACCTGAAACACATCAACTCCTTTGGGAGATCTTTGAGTTTGTCCCAGACCTAGCCCTCCCCCGCCCTAAAAAATGTAGATTCCCTTCTGCTTCAAGATGTGTGTTGGTTTTCTCCTAAAACTCAAGCAACACAGGTGGGGGTGTCTTTTGCAGGTCCCCTTTTTGGCGTGGTTTTCTGGGGAAAGGGCCACCAGCTGGGTCCGCTATTTGACCCGCAGTCCGCCTGTGCCGCCTGCATCGGATGCATGGCCGCCTCAAAGGCTACGGCCTCAGGCAGTGGGTTGGGCCGGTTCCCCCGGACTGGGGCCTTTGGATCGGCCAATGCTGGGGTGAAGCTCCGAAAGTTGACCTGCTAAAAGGCTCAAGTTGCTTGCAACATGTTGCTTACCCCTTAAAACTCCAAGGATTGGGGAAGTTAACCTTTTACAGACATATAGCCCATGTTACCCAAAAAGTTGAGAAAAGTGGTGTTTTTTTTAAGAGGTAAGAAAAGGCTCGAGTTGTTTGCAACATGTTGGGTTGCCGGGGGGGGGGGGGTTGCCCGGACCGAATGACGGTCACTCTTGGACGTGAGGTGACCAATATGTTGCAAGTCTTCAAGCCCAAATAGGAATGAAGACCAATTTTTGGGCAAACGATGGGAGAAACCCGCACGTCCCACTTCCCAAGTGGGAGTACTGCAGTTTTCGGGTCAGAAGAATTTCGAAGGGAGGTGAGAGATTGCAATTAGTGACATGAGTAGTTGGTTTGGCCCAGCTTCCAGCGGTCTTCGAGGCGTGCTTTTGCAGATCTTGCAAAGGGCGCCTGCCCAACCAAGGAGTACAAATAGCACTGCACCCTGTGCTGAACCGGATGCAACGGTTTGGGCGCTTCTCCCATCCACCAGGATGGGCGAGGCCACCTGGTTCGTCTCTCTTTTAGTTCCCAGCATCTCATGAGGTTCCCGGGTCCCATTGGCGACACCTACTCCTTGGTTCAACCTAATGTTGACCCCATAATCAACGCCAGCTTACTAGGGGGACTGGGTTTAGTGGTTGGAATCAGGCCACTTTTGGAGGGCCCAAAACCACCCGTTGATTCATATGGGGTCAAGATTTGATGGTTGGTTGGAAGCTGAAATAGGGCGCAGTCCCATTTTGCACGGATTCCTTCAGACTTTTTTCCACGTGAACGCATCCAGCTTGGTGTCGCCACCGCTCGCTCGAGGCGCCGGGCGACCAGTCCGCTCTCAGTCACCACCAGGGCGGGGCCTCAGCCGGCAAGAGGCACCCTGTGAGCCAGTCCGAAGTCTCCAACCAAACCTTGCGATCGATGCCATAGGCAGGGAATGAGACATGGAATGACCCCTATAACCCATCCAACCGGTGGTTTCCTTTCAGGGGGCCCCTCGGTTCATTCTCTCAGTCCCCGAGCACCAGCAAGAAAATGCTCGATGGTACATCCCGTAACTCATTCATGATACGGCTCCAAGGAGGAACAAAAAAACACTTTGAGGGGAAAAAACACCTGGTGACCATGGACTTCCCGAAAAGTATCACGGAATCAGGGGGCTATGCCTTATTTTTCTCTTGGCAAGGCCTTACTAAGGGATTCTCTGTCCTTGGCTTATCCAGGGATAACCCTACCCCCCCACCCATAGCCCCTAGGGGTCCATGAAAGAAAACAATAATGTGGAGGTCAGAAAGTTAGTCAAGTGTCTCGACAAATCGCCGTAACTACGTCGCGCATCTATGGAACATAACCATCCCCATGTCTTTGTTTGGCTGGCCACCACGGCAAGACATACTCCTCATCGAATGTTCTATGTTGGCAAAGGTTCCCATGGAATGTCTGGAGGGGAAAGACCTGGCTCATTCATCCTCCGAGCCAGTACACTGTTTCCAGGGCCGTGGATGTTGTCAAAGAGAGTACAACCAGTCCACGCAGAACACCCCTGGGCAGTTAGCACATGTCAAAAAAGGGGACCCCCATTGAAATGTTGCTCTCCTTTTGGTTACCCTTTAAACCTCCGCAAACATGGCTGCTCTCAGATCCTCTGCTAAAAGTTTCACTTGAAAATGGCACCTGCCACCAAACCAACCAAAGACCTAAAAAGGCTAAGGAGCCTGGAGCCCCTGCTTGAAAATGGAACCTGCCACCAAACCAACCAAAAGGCTAAGGAGCCTTTTGATGATTTGCTGGGAGATGCTGGGAGCCCCAAAGGCTATGGCAACTCAAAAGTTGCAGTGGCGCCAGTGGCTTCGGAGGCCCTCAGGTCTGCACGGCCATCGCTGCCAATCACCCGGCCTGCGCTTCGCATCTGAGATGAGCTCAGCTTCCCCCGGTGGCGAAATCGGCGAAGCCCTGCTTTTAAGCGACTCACTCCTTGTGGGGCAAAAACGAGGAAGACCCAAATTCGTTGGATCAAAAAGTTGTTCAGTCCTAGCATCCCTCGGCATGCACCAAAGGTCCGACGGAGCGGATCATGCCAAAAACCGTCGCCACGGCGTCTGGCTGGTGCGATGGGATAGGGAACGAGGCAATAGGGAATGGACCTGGGGAGGGCGGTGTTGTTTTTTTGGGGGGCCGTTCCGTGTCTCCTTCCCAGCGCACCAGCAAGTCTTGTGGGCGGTCTCAAACGGTCCAAACCCGAAAAGTGGAAAAGTGCGGCCCCTCAAAAGTTGCTACGAAGCTGAGACGACCGAGTTGTCTTCCCACAGGACAACTAGAGGAACCACAGTTGAGGGTGCTTGTCCTCGGCCTATAGCCAAGCCCCGAGTAACCTGACCATGACCCTCCCTCCACTCTCCGAATCCCAATGCACCCACCAAAAAAAAACAAAAAAAGAAGCAGTGCACGGCTCTTTTCAGCAGCAAGCCCTGGGTGGCCGCTAATTACTCGCAGGCTTCAGGAACCTCAGGACAAAGCCGGCATTCGACCGCAAACGGGTTTCGAGACTGACGGCCAGTCTCTTTGAATCTCGCTTTGAGACGAAACGCCTGTGCCCACCGATGCCACACGCATTCTGATCCGAGTTGCTCCAGAGGACGCACTGCTTGGCCTTGGCTCGCTTGTGGCAAGGCTCGCGGATTCTTTTTGCGCTACAAGCAACGCACGGGGCCTGCCTGTGATTGCCAAATGTGGTCAAAAAGCGCCTAATATTGAGCCCGTATTAATCAACCTCAGTTAATTAATAGGGGGTGTCCCTGGGTTTAGTGGGGAATCATCACTTTTGGAGAGGAACACCCCCATAATTACAAAAAAAACAGGGGTTGATTCATGGGGTGAACATGAGTGTCTTTCAAGCCACTCTGGTGAGCAAGGCTTGCCAGGTCACTCCGGAGCCTCTGGCAGGCTTCCCAGGCAAGTGTCCTGGCGAAGGATCGGCATCGACATGGCCGCTATTCCGCGCGCAGTCGTTAAAAGGCTCTTTGCTCGCCCTTTAAAGTATCTGGTATATATGGCTGTGGTTCAAAAAACGGTACCAAAATGGAACCCTGGCGAGTGGAAACATGGACCAACACCTGCCTAACCCCCCTGTTTAAATTTGCGCCACAAAATTAAACACCCATGTAGCTGCAAGGGATGGCTTCCCGTTCGGGACATCCCGAAAATCTGCAGGAGATGCGCGCTGCACCTAGAGCCTTGGGGCGTAGCTGGAGCGCGGAGCAGTGCGGCTTTGCACACAGCCCTCTGGCCCAGGAAAGGCGGGGGAAGCGCCATCACACTGCACTTGGAAGAAGCTCCTTGGATTGACTTTTTGACCATTGACCTCACAGAACAGGCGTTGATCTGTCCTTTCCCAAACGCCTTGCCCTCACATGAGCTGGCAGCAGTGCTTTGCACCTGGCCCTGGCTCAGGCGTTGGCTTGGGCCTCGGCTGCACGCGGCACACCTCCACAACGCCCTCGTCAGCTTTGGACGCGGAGCTCTCGCTGTCCGAGCCGGCCGCAAAGTCCACCGTCTCCTTACCTTAGGATCACTGTTCGAAGGAATCGACTGGAAAGCATGGAGGGCAAGTAGTTCAAAAGTTGCGGGTGGTATCACACTGTGATACTCTTTTTTTGGGCGGGGAAAGGAACACCTTCCGCGGAACTGAGTGCTTTGGGTTTGGGAAGGGCTCAACCGGATCCCTATTTGAACAGCTCACATGGGCATGAAGCCGGAACTTCCGCCTAGCACAGAGCTGCACTGGGGACGGAAAAGGAGGGACCCTACTGTGGATGGACGAAATCCTGCACCACTTGCAAACCATGAGAAACCACTACTCGTTGGTAATTACAGGGGAATCATCCTTCCAGGGTTCCTGAGGTGGTGCGAAATGGATTTCGTCCATCCACAGTAGGGACGGAAAAGGAGGGACCCTATCACAACTGGGTCGCTCTCCTTGAGCCTCTGCTCGGCAACCTCGAGAAAGCGCCGGCACACTGCGGGCAGCTGTTGCCTCTCCACTGCCACCACCATAGCAGCGTCTCTCGTGGAGCTCGGCTCCGTCGAGATCGCCTGAATCCAAGTCCCATGACCCTGGCGCGGTTCTTTCCGCTGCGGTTTGTTCTCAACAAGAACCATGTAAGCATACGCCCTTTGACCTTGGAGTGCTGCTTTGAGGGAGGGTGTCTCTGTCACTGTCTCTCTCTCTGTCTCTCTCTCTCTCTCTCTCTCTCTCGCTCTCTTTCTCTTTCTCTTTCTTCCTTTCTCTTCGCACGGCTATCCGAGCTATCTCTACAGGCGCCCTGCGCATTATCGCAACCGCGCTTCGATAAAGGTAGCTCTGCCCATGTTAGCTCTCAGCCGAATTGCAGGACCACCAAAATGGGAAGAGCTCCTTCCTGCAAACCACAACAGCCATTCTATTGTTTGAACCACGTATCCAAACATTGCATGCGTCAACGGGGAATGCCCAACCAACCTGCTTGCAGTTGCTTGCTATCGTCTTTCAAACATCACCCCGCAAAGGATACTCACTTCACATTTGCCTTTCCAAAGGGTGATAACTTCAAGAGAGGATGTTTCATCAGGAATCCTCAGGAGCCAGCGTGCTGTATGGGAATTCCCCTGCCACTGGAACGCCTTCCCAAAAAGGGGAGGGAAGCGCCTGGCATTTCAGAAGTGAAAGAACTCCATTTTCGTGAGTTGCAAGGAACATGTTTGCACATGGACACATGCTCAACTTGCCCCCACAACTCACATTGCTTCAACAGCCCAATGAATTTGATGGATTTTGAAGCTCCATCTATTGATTTAAAACATCTTTGCCTCCATTGGCTCCCATGGCCAAACAACCCCCCCAACTCTCCAACTCCCCAGCACCAGCCTATCCTCACCCCACTTGCCACTTACGCACCAAGGGAAATTGAAGAAGGGGCCCTCTGCCTCCAGATCTGGGGATGGGGCACTTACCAGTCACCACCATCCTTGGCCCCCATGGCCAAACAATCACTCCCACCGCACCCCATCCCCAGATCTCATCTCTCCAGATCTCACCAGATCTCTCCAGGTCTCCCCACCAGCACCACCAGCCCCACGCCTTGCACACCTCCGCCATGTCCGGCAGCCGCGCCAAGCTCTGTAGCGCCTCTCCCACCGAAGGCGCCGTCGCGTCATTCGCCGCGGCGGCGCCGGGCACGTGCCACGCGGCGCCGGACTCCTCCCAGCGGAAACTCGGCTGTGCCAGGGGAAACCCATGGGAACATAGGTGTGCTTTTGGAGGAAATAGATGGCCCTGGTAGATGATGAAACCACCAGGTAAACCAGGGCCATTTTTGTGTGACTAAAACAACCAAAAAGGACACCTACGCATGGGAATCCATAGGGACCACCTATGAACCCGTTGGGAAAAACACTGCTGATTGGAATTTACATTGGGGAATCGAATTAGAAACCCGGGTGGGAATCCACACTGCGGATGGAAGTTCATAAACCGCACCGCCTCAGAAACCATGCAACCACAACGGTATTTGCAATCGAATCATTCCGGGTTTGTTTAGGTAGTGCAGGAGTTTGTCCATCCACAGTAGGACCGCGGAAGCAATTCGCAGAAATCCAGAACCCAGAGAAATCCAGAAAATAAACCCATAGGAATCCATCCAAAGTTGGAAGCCCATGAAAAGCAAGATTCATGGATCCACAAGGCTGTGAGATTCTTAAAAGCTGGAGCTAGAGATATTTATTCCCCCCCGTGGTGCCAATGAGGTCTACCAAAGCGCCCAATGAAAGCATGCCCGAAAGAATCCACTTGGGACACAAAAGGATCGAATCAAATGAAACCTTGGTCACTGGTGGCAACTGGCTGGGTGGCCCCCAGTTGGAATGGTCTTGAGGCTGGGATATGTCCGCTGTTCAGCCAGGTCCCCACAAATTCGCTTGTCTCGACACAACCCACACAAAGGCGGGTAGCCTCAAAAAGACAAACACTCAATGACTAACGTAGCTGTCAGGTTCCTGCCAGCACTTGGCTCTTTCTAGCTCGTACATGCATCTTTGCCCTTTCTCCTCTATTTCGGGTTGGTGACTGCAGGCGGCTGGCTCGTTCCATTCGGAATGTACGTATGTTTTAGCCATTTTTTTGTGCAACAAACCCATTAATTCCAAATTATGACATCAACATACCTGGTGATTCTTAGTGCGTGCTGTACTGCTGTACTGTCGGATATGTATTGTCATCCGCTTAGTGCACACATTTTGCGTGGCACGCTGTCCTTATCATTGACGCCAGCATGAGTCAGTGATCATAGACAGTGTGGCCAGCCATGAAAAGCCACCCACTGACCAGTCACAAACTTCAAGGCATCCTCCCGGTGACCCAAACACAAATCACCAGCAATGGCTTGAGGTCACTACGCCATCCTTAGTGACTCTTCCCTCAGCGTGCTCAACATTCAAGGGCAACGTTGCTTCAGCTTGTGCGGCTTCAGGGGGCAAACAGTCCGTGCGTCGCTGATTCCAATCTGAAAGCAAAATGCTGCATTCTTAACCAATGATATTGCATTGTAAATGTGAACTGTCATTCTCCTGCGATATCATTGGCTACCCGATAATCTTTGCGGACCTTCATCAGAATGAAGGCACCTGTGCCAAAACTAGTCGACCTCCGTAGCCGCAAACGGGTCCAATTTCACCCGCTTGAAACGCTAGCAGGCGCCTTCACGTTGGCTTGCCCCGGAGTGGGGTGGGGTTGCTCTAATGAAATTGCAGACAGGCAATTGCCAACCCAACCGCCCACCATCATTTTACACTCCTGCCGCCGAAAATCAGGTTCCCTAAGTTTCGCCCGAATAGTACCCAAGAGGCAACCCAATCTGAAGTAGCCCGAAAGGTACGGTTCAAGCTAAACTGAGTCACAATCAACACCCAAGTAGTTTGCCGCCTTGCGAATTCTTTACATTGTTCTGGATGTTCTGGGTAGACCTGGGTAGCCCATTTCAATACCGGGTTTTGCTTGTGACTCACATGGGTTTTGGAGAAAAACAAACACATGCCGTCGCCTCTACGGTGGCATCCACTTCTGCTAGCAGGGCCCGGCCCAGCAAACGCAAGGCCTCAATCAGCGCGACTGGGACCAACTTGTTGTGTTTACCACCCAAATTTGAGTCGCAATATGTCGCAATCAAACCCCGGTATTGCAATGGTCTGCCCACACCAATGTAAAGGATTGAAAAGGCGGCCACCTATGTCTGGCTGGGGTTGTCCCTTACTACCCCTCACTCACCCGGGTTTTGAGTGTGACTTAAATGCTGTTCCACAAAAAGATCTTAAGATATCTCAAGTTCAGCACCTCTTGCGTCTGAAGTAGAACTGAAGTGAGGAAATGGGGGATTTCCGAACACTCAATGAAGGCTTTTGGGCAAGGTCCACACAGGCAAAGAAAGACTGACGCGGGTGAAAAACTGGGGTACCAAGGCTGTACGTCTATCGTCTAACAAAGGTTGGCTCTCATCCCCAGTTTTCACCGAAGCCGGTGTGATCTCTTTGTTGGGTAAGCACTCAGAAACTTCGCAGCGGTCCGCTGGCGGATTCGTAGGTTCAGCCTTCGACGTACTGTTGACCCGATATTAACCTAGCAGACTTCTGAGAATCCTCATCTGTTGACCGAAACTTTTTGGGACACCTGATCATCAGAATCAGCATTAACAACTCACTTGCCCGAAGCACCTGGAACCAGGAGGTTGATCTTTGGGAACAAACCCAGCCTTTTGGGTCCGATTCCTGAAAGACACATCCAAAGGAAGAGGATTCAAAAGGTTGGCGTTGGCTCAAAACGCCCAGCCATCTGAAGCCACCTCTCAGCCCACCCCCCCCCCCTCTCCCCACCTCCACCAGCTCGCTGCGCACTGGAGGCGTCGTTTCGGATGTGCTGAGCGCCGGGTGTCGGAGGATGGTGGCGGTGTCGGCGGCGCCCAGGCGCCCCGAAGGGTCCTAGGGCAAAGGGGGGGCGGCGGGTGACAGGGCGGGAGCCCGGGCAAAGGGCCTGATCTGGGAGGTTTTCCGATTTGGGGTAGGGGAAGACAATGAAAGTCCCAAGGCAGACTCAAACCCACTGGGAAACGAGCGAGCCACGGGTTTCAGTCTATGGGGTCAAAACATGGAGCACCAAGAGCACTAGGTCCTCCAGTCGAGAAGTTAGAATAAGGGTTTTAGTAGGGAACCCCTCCCAACCAAAAAAGTGGGTAAAAGGGGACTACTGGGGGACCTAGACTTCAGTCGCGCCTTGGTCACCAACTGCCGGATCAGCTCCGTTTCCTGGCTGCTGGGCAGCCAGAGGTTGCCAGCCTCTCGCGCGGGTGGGTCCCATCACAACGAGTGGGCGGCCAAAACCATGACCCTGCAATTCAGGAATCCCAGAAAGTGACCTGACCTTCATGGGTAGATTGTTCTTCTGAACCCCGCGCCACAAGAAGGAAACCTGGTATTGGTCTCTCTCTCTCTCTCTCACCAGGTCAAGGCCTAGAATTTTTATTGACAGGGGGGTTGCAACCGAGTTGTTTCCTTTCGAGGGCCTGGAAGTCTCCACAGGCGGCAACTTCAAACCAACAGGTTCAAAGGGATCCACCAAAAGGGAGCCACACTCGTTTTTTCTCTTTCGGGTCCCTCTATTTTGGCATGCCCCAAAAAACAGAGAAAAAATGGAGAACAAAAAAACAAGGAAAAAACAAAAACGGGGCAACAAACATTTTGCAGCAGCCTGGCCTTGGCCTTTGACAGCACCAGGAACGGCGTCTGGGCATTGAAGGGTGGGACCCCCGTCAGCAGCTGAGCCATGGCACAGCCCAGGGACCACCTCACGACAAAAGGCTTGGGCTGCTGGACCTCTTCAAAGCACGAACGAGCAAAAGACAACCAAACAAGCAAGCAAGCAAGCAAGCAAGCAAGCAAGCAAGCAAGCAAGCAAGCAAGCAAGCAAGCAAGCAAGCAAGCAAGCAAGCAACCAGACAGACAATGCAAGACAAGACAAGACAACTCTGTGTGGTCCTTTTTGTTGCCCCCGCAAACCACTCATGTGCAGCAAGTGAAAGGTGAAAAGGAGGAACATAAATTACCACGACAACAACAAAAACAAAACAAGGAACATAAATTACTACGACAACAACAAACAAAACATGAAACAACTCGATGCTCTCCGGCGCAAATCGCTGCGGCGGTCGTTGGCCTTGCCGTCCACCGCCTCTGGGGACATGAAGTTGGGCGTGCCCACGTGGTGCTCGTACTGCGGCCCCAGCATCATGGGCTGGACCTCCGGAAAGGAGACATCCCGCGCGGTCCCAAAGTCGATCAACTTCACAGTCCTTTCGCTCAGTTGGGACTGGGATCTGGCTGTGGCAAAAGAAAAAAAAAAAAGAAGCGCTGTACCAAAATGGCCACCTTGGTATACCTTAAGTGGAACCAGAGACATCCAACCTGCAGAACCCGAGCTCTTTGATTTTGAGCCACGTTCATGTGTCGAACCCCACTCTTGTCGCAATTGTAACTAACATATTCCTTCTCAGTTCCCCTCAAAAACGGAAGCCTTGCCAAAAGGACCCAGAACTAAAAGGTTAACCTTTTGGAGCCTTGGCTAAAAGCATGCAACTCAGGGAAACAAAAAGGTCAGATCCGGTCGATTCGCTTTGGGCAACTGAGTTGCAGTCGTTGTTTGGCCCCAGTCCTCTCCCTTGTCAGCAGGAAGTTCTCGCATTTCACGTCCCGGTGGATGATGCCCAGGCTATGCACTGCAGCCAGGGCCTTCACCATCTGAGAGGCGTACCAGCTGAACTCCCCATCCGCGACACAGCCGCAATGCTTGATGTCCTAGGGGAGGAATCAACCTCGCGTCTGACAAAAGTTTAACCCATTGAGGAAAAACAAACACATTTTTGGCCTTGCAACAGGGGCGCGGGGAGTGTGAAACACATTTTGCCCAGCCCTGCCTCCCAGAGTTCTCCCGCCTGACACCACTCCAGGATCCCGACCCACTCGGCCGGTGAGTCGAAGTCACAGACCAGCTTGGCCACCAAAGGGTTGGATCGCAAGCGCCGGAGGCAGTGAGCTTCCATCACGATGGCCTGGTCACAGGGCTTGCCCCTCCTCACAACCCGCTTGGCAGCATACTTCTGGGAGCTGCGCGAGTCGCTGCACAGCACCACTTCGCAGAAGGAGCCGAGGTTGATCACGTCGTGAAACTGGAAATCCCCCAGCTGTGCAGCTGGCGATTCCATGGCGGAGGAAAGCAACTCACATGTGGAAGCCGTCAGCTGTTCTGCAACTTTACTCGCACATTGGTCTGAAGCGGTCAGTCGCCCTGTGATGACTCTGCGCAGGCGTCTATCTGCTAAGTAAGCCTGCTCGATTCCAGCCTGCCGTTGGTTGAGATGCCATTCAACCTCGACTTTGCCTTGTGCTTGGCTGCGAGAAACCTGATGGTCAGGGGTGTGTAGGTAAGGTCACATGTCATTTGCCACTTTATCACCCAAAAAGTGGGTTCCCCAGCATTTGCCACGTGCAGGCAGCCAACCCAGAGCCCCTGCCTGGGGCGAGGCATCGCTACCATCTGGCGAGGAGTCAGTGGACTGAGCCTCCCTTCACATAACTTTTACCAGCCTTTACGAATTGCCGCGATTCCGCGCTGTCCTGCAACTCTTCGGGCAAGGTCTGTAGACCGGACACCCTGTTGCCTACAAGTACCACATTTCCACTGCCCGTTGCAAGTGCTCAAGCAGCCCTACCGCAATTCAAACCTGTGCAACATCTCTGACCCAGAGGGTTTTTGTTGGTACCTTCTAGGGAGGTACTGAACGAGCCCTGTTTACCCCCCAAAAGCCACCCTCAGAAGGTACCAAAAAAACCCTCGAGGGAAATCTCATTGCATCCTGGCATCCTGGCCTGTCGAGTCGTCGCCCTTGGACTTCTTTGGGGCGACCTTCTCCATGAGCACAGCCCCCAAAGAGGCCATGAGCATCACCTCGCCACTTGCCGCAAAAAAAAGAGAGAAAGCCATGGGCAGTAGCATACAACCAGTTCTTCCCATGGCGTGCCCCGCACTCAGGCGAGTCTGTGAATGGCATGTGGCATGGCATTCTTCACTGCATAAGTGTCAACTTGCACTCTGCATCACACCCACCAAACTCCACACACACACACATCTGCTGACATGGCAAGGTGCAGCCATTTATCTAGGGGTTGATTCCCCATCGCTCTTTTCAAAACCAGCTTTCCCTGGGGGTTTTGATGGTTTCTTGAAAAGAAGGATCCCTGGAAAGAATGAAAATGGAAGGTAGCCCTAGAATGTACACCCCATCCTCTCTTTGCCGAGCTGCTAAAAGGGCAATGAGCAGTCCCAGCCACCAGCCTCCGAAATTCGACTCTTGGGCCACGCTGACAAGACTGGGCCCCTGTCTTCTGGTGAGTGGTCACGCTGGGTCAAGGGTGAGGAACAGCAGGTGAGAAAACAAGCCCGGGACAAGGACAAAGTCCTGGTGACCTACTAGGTAGATGGGTGAACAGCCGGTCACACTGCGAATGGTGAGGCTAGGAGTTCTTCAACTGAGCTCCGATGCTGAGGTCCCGGCTGCTTTGGCCAAGGTGCACCCTGCGCGGCGAGAGCCAGCCCGACGAACATGGCACGCCATGCAGGTTTCCCTTGACAAAGAAATGCATTTTTCAGTGTAATTGTTGACATGTTGTGTAGTTTTTTGGACCCCCCCTCAGAATCCGCAGACCGATTTTGTCTCACGCCCATGGGGTATGCACGTTGCTTTCCCATGTGTTTCAACGGACTCTTCCTTTTGCCCCCCGCGAAGGAGAAAACGCGCCGAAGTCGGATCGCGGATCGCGCGCCAGAACGCCGCCAGGCCCAAGAAGACCCCCACCACGGCACCCACGAGGATCTGCAAGCAGGTATGCCTCGGCCAACTTCCATCGCACATCTGGCCATGGGTCAAAAGCCCGTTCCCCAGTGAACATCCCAATTTTCACCCAAATAGACGAACATGGGTGGTGCACCTACCCCAAAATGGGATCCCAAAACGGTTTTGACAACTACAGCCATCTGAGTTGAGTGTCGTTTGAAAGCCGCCGGCCCCGCAAAGGGGGCCATGAAGTGGCCCAAAACAAAGTCAAGCCTTGAAAAATTCGAACGGATGGCCGCAAAGATGCTCCAGTTGATTCAAAACTTCCGTGATGCAGAAGATAGCCAGTGATGAGACAGTAAGTAACCCTTACTTACGAGGAGTCAACAAATACTCCAGTAAGTGACCTTCTCAAAAACCAAGCCTTGGGCTCCATATCCTTTGATCGCTGAGTTGGCGAATAACAACGGTACCCTGGGCAAATTGGATTCCCTCCGCACCCATATAGTCAAGCTGTTAGACCCTGGTTGAAAAGGAAGATGTTGGCAAAAGGTAAGGGGCATTCTTGTCTTGTCAGCAACTGGACCTTTTGTTGTGCTCGAAATTCTTCATTGGCATGCTCATTCACATGTGATGCAGCCGCAAATCAAAGGGTTTTGTACTACAACCTAGGATTACACCCTTGGAAAATGGGCCCACACTGGTTCAAAATCACACGGTTTTATCCGGACATATGCCTGGGTCATTTCCCAGAAGGTGTAATCCCAGGGGGTAATGCAAAAACCCTTAGAGCCAAGGAGCCGAACGAACCCCAATCTCTGAGTCACCCTCAGGGTAGTTTATACTTGTTGCATGATTCCTTCTCCATTCTGTTCAGCCATCGTTCCATTGAAAAACTGGATCCGTTTCCCGATCGAGTTGCGCTCGTTCCGAATCCCAAGAAACCCCTGTGGATGGACAAAATCCATTTCGCACCACTTTGAAGCCATGCGGAAACCACTTGAAGGCATTTACCAAATAAATCGGAATCCAGAAACCCCAAGGGTTTCTGAAGGGTGCGGTCGAACTCCACATGGATTTCGCGTCACCCACAGATCCCCAGTCCCGCCGCCGCTCATATCGCTCTCCACTTCCCAGGAGCGGCGCTGTGCCACCTGCCGGCCGCCGATGTTCACGGCCAACGGCCCGCCGAAGCGGGTCCGCGACAGCATCACCTCGCGCCAGGAGATCTGTGGCTCGGAGGGAGGAGGGTTGGGGCTCAAAAAACTCGGGGCCCGTGGTGCTTGGAGCGCCTGAAAATGCCCCTTGGTCGCACGATGAAGCCATTTTTCAGAACCTGGCCTGGACATGTTTCCGGGCCGCGGCGCATCTGTTTCAAGGGTTCTTGCTTCAAAATCCTTCTCATGCAAGGGCTCAAAGCATGGGGTTTCCCTCCACCCTAAAGCCCATGCCCAACAAATCACCCCGCAGGCCATGGCTTAGTGAACCCCCCCGCTGTCCAAGCCGCGCAGAAGGCCACCAGCCTCGGCGTTCCAATTCGCGCGGGTTTTTTTTCCGGGACTCGCGGCGATCCGCGGCCCTTCCGCGCGCCGAAGCGTTTTTTGTTGTTCCTCTTCTTATTTTTTCCCGGCCCACGGCCAAGCCGAAACCTGAAAGAAATGGGGTGGTCAGGGTTGGGGGGTGGAATGTGTGGAGGCTGTGGAGGGTTCGTAGCTTTTTGGGCAGGGACAAAGGTGTCAAATGTCAAAAAAGAGCTGGATGAGCCAAGGGAAACAAAGAATTCAGAAGAGGTCGAATCAACAGGCTTGGAGCGGTTCAAAACAAAACATCCCTACCGAATGGAACCTCACCGCATATGCGGTCGCAAACCCTGTAGAACTCGTCCACCAACAACCAGGCTCCATTTAGAAGACGGAGAAAACTTCTTGCGGTTGACCATTCTCTTGCTGGTGCTCAGTAGGGAATGAGAGAATGAACCTCATAAACCATTCCTTGTGGTTTCCTTTAAGGGGACCAACTCCTGGGTTCATTTCCTCATTCCCCGCGCGCCAGCAAGTTGTAGCTCGCACGAAGACACGGCCATGGGCCAAAATCCGGTACCGGTGAACATCCCAATCCCCACTAAAATCCGCCGACCCCATGCCTGGTCCAGAATGGACCATGCTTTCGGCATGGGGGCGGTGTGTTCTGTGTTGCTTTTGTTGATATGCTTTCTATAAGTTTAATGTGAATATGATTATGTATATATATATATAAATATACATATATATGTCCCTTGGGGCGGCTCTTGGGGCTGGTTTCTACGTCGGCTGGATTTCTGGATTTCTGGATTTCTGGATCTCTCAATCTGGATCTCTGGATCTCTGGATTCCTAGATTTCCCCCCCTGCCCCCCCTCCCCCCTCCCCCCCCCTCCCCTCCCCCCCCCTCCCCCCTCCCCCCCCCCCCTCCCCCCCTCCCCCTCCCCCCCCCCTTTTCCCCCGCCCCCCCCCCCCCTCCCCCCCCCCCCCTCCCCCCCCCTCCCCCCCCTTGTCGTCCGTGGTCTTCCGCAATCTTCCGTAGTCTTCTTCTCCTAGTCTTCCGATAATGTTTCGGGACCAAACAACGCGCGTTAGGACTCAATCTCGTGTCCTGTGCTTTCGGGCTTCCTCCCTTAGGCTCGGGCTTCCTCCCTTAGGCTCGGGCTTCCTCCCTTAGGCTTCGGGTAGTCTTCCCCCACCCCTCCGCCCCCCCCCCCCTGTGACTGTCTATGTCTGTCTACGTATCTGCGTCTGTCTTCGTGTCTGCGAAGACCCCCCTGCCCCTGCGTGTCTGTCTGTGTCTCTTTGTGTCTGCCTGGGTCTGTCTGCGTCTGTCTGCGTGTCCGCAAAGACCCCCTGCGTGTCTGTCTCTGTCTCTTTGTGTCTGTCTGTGTCTGTCTACGTATCTGCGTCCGTCTTCGTGTCCCCCCCCCCCCCCTGCGTGTCTGTGTGTGTGTGTGTGTGTCTATTTGCCTCTGTCTGGCTCTGTCTGTGTCTGTCTACGCATCTGCGTCTGTCTTCGTGTCCGCGAAGACCCTCCCCCTCGCTGCGTGTCTGTCTGCGTGTCTTTGTGTCTGTCTGTGTCTGTCTACGTCTCTGCGTCTGTCTTCGTGCCCGCGAACGGGTCTGTGCACGCGTGCTTTCTCTCGTCCCGGGCCGAAATTCTAAGGTGTGTGGGGGCGGCGGAACCAGGCCGCAGGCCATTAAATAGGTTCTAAAATGGGTGGTGAATTCACCTACCAACCAAAATGGGGTCCCATTGGTTCTGACCCACAGCCACACCTCCGCAGGTGGCAAGCTCCAGCCAGGCTGCCAAACATAGAGCAGTGGTAGGATGACCCCGGCATCTGCCGGGGCTGCTGCGATGAATGCCCCAGGCAGTTCCTAGGCTGCAACATACCCAAAACAAATGCCATGCCCAAACGACAACTGTGTGTGTATCTATGATGCTGTATACGTTCATGTGTGTACTTGTGTGTTTTCATGTTTTTGCGTCTTGCGTGTTGCATTTGATAACCGCGTGTTTGCAATTGTGCTTGTAGTTTCCGTCTGCTATCCTGCTGGATTGATTGCTTGCTTACGTTTTTACTTTTTGGGTGGTTACCCTTTTGGGGTGTGCCCGAAGGGAAATCAAAGAGCACCGTTTTGGGCCCATTGAGAAAACATAGCAGGCATCAAGCCATCTGGATGTTGGCCACCTCAGAACTCACATAAATGCAGCAATATCCAGCCATTTCAATCACCAACCGCCGTTTGGCATACTTACGCGAACAAGTTTGTCGAGGGATGCAAGGAATGTCAACATTAAGGGGGTTTGAACAGCAGGATCCCGCCCGTCGAGTACCACCAAAACCAGTAGCAAGCCCAGCGTAGCTGAACAGGTTGGATCAAACCCATTGACTTGAGGGCATAATTGGGCTCTCCGCGAAAAGTGAAACTCTCCGTGACTTTTGACATGCTTGTGATCTGTGACTATTCTGCAAAAGCGACCGTAACTCTTCACGGTTGCGGCAGATGCGGCTTCGGAGACTTCCATTGCCCTGCTGTTTTGCGCTTGCCCGTATTTTTCACGAGCTCTTGACATATAACGTTGACTTTGGATTCATCCTGGGACCTTTTTTTGGTTGTCTTTTTCAAACGGGATATTTCTGGTCGTATCCCCCGGCCAAATAAAGACAGCCCCCTTTCCCGGCCAAAGTGCAGCCCGCTCTTCTTTGAAGGCAGCCAAAGAGTTTGGCAGAATGACCCTGCTTATCTGATTTTTCCCAAAGCAAAGCCCTTCTCAGAAAATAATATCAAACGGGCAAACGCAGTAGAAAACTAATAAAATTGGCGAAGCCATTGCCAACTTTTGAGGCCCATACGGCTTCTCATAGTTCCCAGGCTTGCCCTTCATCTGGAAATTCCGCTAGCCGGAAATCCGCCGACGCCAGTCGAGCGTGTAGATGGCAGTCCGCAACTTGGTCTTCCTTCGGAATCTCTTATCAAAGCCGAGGACAGCTTTTTTTTGGGGCATGCTGTGCTACGTGTCCAAAACCCTGTATTTTTCCAGTGTTTTTGGGTCTTTCGTGCTAGAAATCTGCATTTCGCCTAGCTGTTTCAAGCGATGTTGGAATTGGCCTGTTAGGGGTTTGGGTGAAGCCAAGTGCAGTGACACTTGAGGAACTGTTGAAATCTGCAAAACTTGTTTTCTTGCAATTCCCCACCTGTACGGAGCAGCTACTGCGAAACATCCCCTGCATTATCGTGCTTTTGGAAGTCCATTCTTAGGGTATTTGAGGGGGGTTGCTAGTATCGGTTTTTGATGGCTGCTTTTGGGAAATATTGAAAAACCTTGGTTTTTTGCACTTTTTTGTGGCTAGCCGGCTGCATTCCCAGCATTCCCCACAACTCTCGTATTTTCTGTGCTTGGTCAATGTCGCGTGTGTGAAAGTCTTAAAATCTTGAGCGTGAAGATTGGGTTTGTTCTTGTAAGTTGTGTGGCTGCATCCGTTGCATTTCCAGCATCCTCAGCGTCTGGGACATGACAAATGACCTAGGCAAAAAGACGTCCTTTTCCTGACCCCAAACTTGAGGCACCCTGCAGTTTGTTAATGGGGGACTGTCCACTGGCGTCGGCGGATCGCGTAGCGATTTCAATATTGGCAGATGCCGTCTCATTCACATTGGCCAAAAAGCGGGCACTGGAGAGGACTGGAGAGACTCCAAAGAAGTAAAAGGGGGGCCCAAGTTCCACCCCCACGAAAGCAACGAAAGCAGGCTTGCCTTTGCAAACCTTGACAGCGAGGAGGTGTCATTCTTCGGGGAGCAACATTCAAATAAATTTGTTTACGGGAACCCTTTGAGCAAAACCGCATACCGCAAAACCCTGGCAAAACCCAGGCACAACCCTGGGAAGCGCCCGGTCCTCTTGCAAAGTTATCTGCCTCCAGCGCGCTGTTCCGCCTTTGTTCCGCCAGTTCGCAGTCCGTCGCGACTCATCTGAGTGAATTATAATATTTCACCAACCTGAAATAAGGTGGTTCGGGGGGGGTATTCCCCAAATAAACCACAATTTGGGATGAGGTCGTGTGAGGTCGTTATAAGTCAGTCGCGACTCATTAGCAGTTGCCTTCTGGGCTTGTGCCAGTCCGCCCCTTCCGAGACATACGGCTTCGAAGAATATTCCTACGCTCCTGAGAGAAACCATCGGGCGCTCAGGGCACCCACACGCCTGGAGCGTGCAAGGGCAAACGTCTATCAGGCCTGTCAGGGTCATAGCCAAGTAGTTGGAAGTCCTCTGCGTAGATCTTTGCAGCCTGAGACAGCCCAGGACAGCCCATATTCTTCTACTTTTTGTTTCTAAAACACATAAAGCTGAATAACCTCCAAGAGCAATTGCATCATGTGTACATCTGTTTCTCTGGTCTGTGGAGTGATTGCCCCAAAACGTCCACTTGAATGCAATCAAGCCAGAACACACCAAATTCATTTCTCCAACATAGATGTTGTCATACGGTGGTTCGGTTTCAGAATGAGCGAGGTTTTGGATCGCTTTTGATCCCCTCGCCTGGTGCGAGGTGTCTTCTGTCCATCGAAGCTTCTCTTTGAAGGCTCGCCAGCTGGACTTCTCTGCAGAGCCCCAGCCATCGCGCGGGTGCTCGTCCAGAGGTATGATGTGGGGGAATGAAGGCAGCGGATCGCAGAACTCCCAGCCAGAGCAAAGGGTCTTTGCCAGAAGCTCCAAATCCTCCTGCAAGGGGCGGCAACTTAGAAGCTTTCCCGCTTACTTTCGAGGAATGTCAAACCGCTTGGGGCAAGTCATTCGTACTGCCAGGAGTACTGACATTCAAAGGTAGTAATTTGGTTCTAGCCGACACGCAAAGAAAAAAACAACCATAATCCTGTAGATTCACATGGAGCCAGCCAAACCACCGCTTTTAGAGGGATCCCCTTTGCGGACCGGACTTTTTTTTGGGATCCATCCATCTATTTGCAGGCGAAGGGACGCTGTTTTAGAGGGGTTTCGCCTGTTTTCGGCCAGTTTTCCATACTCTATTTACTTGCTGGCGCAGTAGGTGGGAATGAACCCAGGGTCCCCTCAAAGGAAACCACAAGGGATGATTTATAAGGGTCCTTCCATTTCGTATTCCCTACCTCGCACCAGCAAGCTTCCCTCGTTGCTGTCCGCAAAGGGCGGTTTGGTGGCCCTTCTCCTCCAAATGCTCCAGGTGCAGAAGCATCTTCCGCTGCATTTGCCACTCCTGTGGCGCGCCTCGCAACAGCTCCGCCACAGGGATGAAGTGCACGACATCCCCCAGACTGCGCAGCTGGACGCTGGACGGGATGATCCTTCTTGAGAACCCTTTGGTTGACAGTTACGTTCGGATCTATGTCCCCCGACCACTCTTGAGAGCTGGCTTCGCCATAAACATGTAGCCACATGTCCATGGTTGGACTTCTCCAAACAGCATGTTTGAGAGTGCCACGCAAACAAACAAAAACACCCCGCGTCCGCTATTCCCCTGGTGCCTGGTGCCAAAAGGGAAATGTATGGTACTGGCCCCGTTGTGGTACGCCACTTCAATACAGGACGAAGCATCCTGTGAATGCCCCACCTATCCCAAAGCAAACCTTGATGTTTCATCTCCCCTTCTCGGGATCCAGAGGAGAAAAAAAAAACGCCCTCACCACTTGGAAACCACGGTTGAAACCATTCTCAGTCGGTACCTGGGAAAACCTTGGAGCAAAAAAAATAACTTTAGCAGTCAAGTGGGGATTTCCCACTAAACCACAACAAGCAAAATGTAAAATGTTTCCCAACAACAACCATGAAACCTCATTCCAGGCTTTCTGTTCGGCGCGAGGCTCGCGGATGTTGCGGATTTCCATCCGCTCGTAACCCCAAAACGCCAAAAACCACTCGGCCTCAGCGAGGAGGGGTCCTCCTCCTCCACCCGGTCGTGCAGGAAGCTGGCCGCACCTGCGGCCTCAACAGAGCGGTCGCTGCGCGCCGAAAACCCACAGGCTGACCCCGTTTTTGTTTTACACTCACCCATGTTTAGAAAAACAAAAACTATGGGAGTGGTGTTTGGCCCCTCCAGTGGCCGGGGGTGATGAATATGGGGTCAACATAAGGTCAAACCATGCCATCCTTACACCTCCATCCGCTCTATTTCCATCTTCCTGACGTTTTCCTGATTTGTTAATCCAGTTTTATGTGTTTTTCTAAGAACAAGGTGGTCTGGTGTTCTTTTTTGGGGTGGGGATCGGGTGCAAAGGCAGGACACTGCGCAACACAACCCGAGTTGTTCTCATTCTCATGCGGAAGGTTCGGGGCCTTCTCTACGGTCGCAGTGATGCCCTGCAACAACCTCTCCACAAGCCGGATGAAGACGGAGAACTCCGACAACCTCCGCAGCTCCTGAACCTTGGACACAGGAGCCTTCCTGATCTTGCTTGGTGCGATAGGTAGGGCATGAGACATGGAACGACCCCTATACACCTTCCAACTGGTGGTTTCCTGTAAGGGCACCCCTGGGTTCATTTTTTCATTCCCTGCTGAGCACCAGCATGTTTTTTGCTCACCTAGCCACGCCGCCGACCTAAAAGTTGGATCCTCAAACTGCCTGCCATTTGACGAAGGTCGGCACGAGTTGGGCCGCATGCGACACGGGCACCCCGTAACTCCTTGCCTGGTTGATAGAGCGAGGTCCCATCAGCAGGGATCTGGAACCGAGGAGCCCGCGGATCGAAGCTGGAGTTGTGCGCCCAGTGCAGAGGCAGGAGCACGGTCAATCCTGCTGGCTGGCTCTGTAGGCACTGACCCCTACGAACCTTAAATACATATATATATATACCTATAATATACATGTATACATATATAGATATATATACACCCAGAG